CCAGTGCTTGATCAATTTAGTGCTCTGTAGTCAGGTTGCCATCAATCACTACAAGTGGCATTTTACGACAGTTAGACTCCTGCCCAGACCATATCACTTGGATCTCCCTAATTATTGGCATGTTATATACAACAAATAGCGCATATCCTCAGGGCTCAATACTGGGCCCCTTGCTCTTCAACATTTACATGTTTCCGCTTGGTCAGCTTTTAAGATCACATGGCCTCAGCTTTCATTTCTACGCTGATGATACTCAAATATACTGTACATCAATACCAAACCGGACATTGATGTGGCTGTCTCTATTCTATCTAATTGCATCTCTGACATAAAAAATTTGGATGACTCAAAACTTCCTTCATCTTAACTGCGACAAGACTGAAGTCATGCTTATTGGCACCCCCCATCAACTTCGTAAAGCCAGTCCTGTAACCCCATCTGTAGATGGTTCTGTACTTGAGCTTCAGTCTAAATGGAAAAACCTTGGGGTTATATTCAATTCTGGCTTAACATTTGACCCACTTGTGCAGCATACTGTCAAAACTTATTTTTTTCACCTCAGAAATTTCGCTAGACTATGCCCTATGCTATCACTAACTGTGGCTGAAAAGCTGATCAACACATTTGTGTTCTCTCGAATTGACTACTGTAATGCTCTACTTACTGGGGTATCTAAATCTACTTTGAACAAACTGCAGTATGTCCAAAATTCAGCAGCCAGAATCCTGACCAGGTCTAGTGCAAATGATCACATTACTCCTATCCTGGAGTCCTTGCACTGGCTTCTGGTCAAATTCCATGTAGACTTTAAAATCCTTATGCTCACCTATAAGGCTCTGATGTCTTGGCACCTCAGTACCTGTCTGAACTATTATCACCCTACTCCCCACCTCGCAACCTTCACTCTTCTAATTCTGCTATCCTTACTGTCCCCCAAGCCCATATACATTGTATGGGTGACATCGCCTTCTCCTGTTATGCCCCCAAGCTCTGGAACTCTCTCCCCAAGGATATCAGAGAGTCACGTTCTCTTAACTCCTTCAAATCCAGACTCAAAACCCTCTTCTTTAGAAAAGCCTTTACTTAACTGGTCCCATTCTTCACACCTCTGCTTTTCTAGTACCACTATCCACGGTCTCATCTATATATTGTAATTGTGTTTTAGTTTGTGTATTCTTTTTATTTGTTGTTGTTGTCATTCTGTAAAGCACTTTGAGAACCCACCTTTAAAGGTGCTATATAAAATAAAGTTTATTATGATTATTATTATTATTATTATTATTATTATTATTATTATTATTATTATTATTATAATATTCCTTCCCATCTAAACCACACTCACAGATGACCATCAACATGGTCAACACAAAACCTTGATTCATCACTAAAGAGAACTTGGCTTGGAATGAAAGCATTATATTGACAGGCTGGGCATCTTGGGTCCCTTCTTTTTTTTCTTTTTTCACCATGTGTGACATTCAACAAATCTGAAGCACTTCATCTCCTGTGCCCAATCAACACCACACAAATGGAATATCACTAATGATTTGTACCCTGTACAATAACTTGGGTTGGTATCCCAGCTTAACAAAAAAGGGATAACAAGTAGTTTCAACTTATTATTTTGCTTAATGTCCTTATCCATGGAAACTTACAATATTATTTAAAACAATACACATATAAGATATAGAATAATATACACATACAATAATATAAAAATGGAAATTAAAAGAAAAGCAAAACAATTAGTTGCATTTGTCCAGACAGGTGAACGCCAGTGTCTGAACTACAGGTTGAGTAAAACAAGGGTAGGATCCGGTAGATATCGCTTAGGAAGAAGCAACAGGAGTGGCTAGAGCAGAAATGTGATAGGAGTAGGAGAGAAAGGGTTGAAGAATAACAATAAGGCTCTAGAAAGAGGAGAAGGGGTAGAGGGTGATGAGACGAGAAGGATCGAGAGGAAAGAAGGTCAGACCTGAGAGAGGTTTAGTTTGATAGAATGGGAGTGCCTCCAGGAAGAGATGGGCATTAATACTGTGGAGAAAAGTGTATTACAAGAAGGAAGAGAGAAGCACATCATCAGATCTTGAGCATTATCTGCCAATATTTTTATTGAAAGTTGCATGAAGAGAACCTATGGACCAGGTATAAAGAGAGAACAGTATAACACTGATCGAGCCAGACGATCTGATAAGTGCAATTGTCAAGGTAGGAGGACAACCAGGTGGTGCCAGAGGTTCCCAGATCAAAGTTTCATAGACAGCACAGAGCTTAGGCAACAGCCATACTGGTGGGGTTCAAGTAATAGGACAAATGGATGCAGAGAATCCTGAGATGCCGCAAGTACTGAAAAGAAAGCAGAGATGATAGAGCCCATAAGTTTAGAGAAAGTCAATAGATTGAAGGTGATTTTGGAGGGCACAATGCTAGGAGGGGATGGAGAGATTCCAAAGAAAGGCTGTAGTGGAAGTTAGTGGAAGAGAAAGAAATGGGAGTGAAAGAGCAAAAGCAAAAGTAGTCACTGAAACAGTCAACAAGGGTGATAGAAAGGGTAGACCAGATAAAGCTGGTGCCCATTTTAATAAGCAATAGGAGATGTAATGCAGTAGCTGAAGGAGTACAGAGAGAAATACGTTCATTCAAGTGGTGAGAAGAATCAATGCTGAAATCACCAGGGATAGTAGAGTAGACAGAAGGGGAAAAGGAGAAAATTATTGAGACAGCCAGGTAGACATTAGACAACAATGATAATCAGCTGAGTAAGGGAAGTTACATCAACTAAAAGAGGTATCTGATAAAGGAGTGAGAGGCACATTAAGAGAATTGCCAAGGCACAGATTGCAGAAGTCCAATGATACCACCCTATCCAGGTCGAGGAGAGTAGGATGAAGAGATGTAGGCAGTTGCAGTTCTGGAAAAATCAAGAGAATGAAGTCCAGAGTAAGATGGAAGGCAAATGTGAATATGAAGTCCACTCCAGCTCGCAGTCCCACAGAGTACCTGAAATGATGTCTTGGTCTGGGCACTGGAGACAATGTTAAGATGGTCAAATTAGAGAGGGCAGAAAAAGATTATCTAGGTAAGAAGATGAAGTTGGCTGCAAGGGGTGCAGTCAACAAGAGTAGAGAAGGTTTGAGAAGAAGGGAAGAGCCTTTCCAGGAGTAGGATCAGAAGTAAGAATATGCCCAGGTTTGCTTCTTTTGCTATCATCTTGTTTGTGGACTCCTGCAGGCCCATGGAACTTTAAACTTGTCTATTTTGCTGTCACCCTGGCTCTTGTACCCACACTTGCAGAATTTAAACCCATTTCACTACTGTGAAGTGTTTGCAGATTTTACTGTGGACCAAACAATAGCAAAGATTTCTAGATTGTGTAATAAATATGATCCATATTTTCATTTTCAGATAGAAAATAATAGCATAGTACAGAGTCAGTAAAAATGGCTTGTGTTCATCCAGATATCTCCATATACAGTAAGCAGGCTTCTCTTAATTCTCTCTTAAGATTTCAGGACATGTACTTCAGTTTTGTACAGTATTTTTTAATCTATGTAAAAAGTGTTTACCAATGATACACTTATGAAAAACCTAACCATGTCACACAAGGGCTCCACAATATTCTTATCCCATTGAATGCTGCACTTACACTTCTATCATTTATCTTCTTAACGTTCTGTGAGAAACTTTAGTAGTTCAGTATGTCTCCCAAGGAAAGGATGTGAATCATTTGACAACCAACCTCCAATGTAGGCTTTAAGAGTGTTTTGTAAGGAATATGCTCATCATGGTAATGCGAATGGTTTTCACTCCACTCTTGACAAGAAAACTGCCATGCAGCTATTGGTATGAAATAAACATTTTGGAGGATACAGGTTGTTGGTATCAGTGCTTTTGAGGATGGGTTTAGGACAGACTTATCTATGGGATTGATCAGCAGGGGGTGAGTGTGGGCAAGATAAACCAGATGAAAAACACTGAACGTTTATAAATCAAAGAGAGCTGTTGAGTATCTGTGGGCTGATTCCTTTTTCGAAAGATTACCTAGAGGTTAAAGGTGATGGCAGGAGTCAATCCACAGGAAACTTCAAAGTCATCCCTTTAGTACCACTTAAGTTATCGCTATTTCCATCTAACCCTATGAGCTCCATCAGTGTATTTATCTATGTCATTTGTACCCAATCCCATTGCATTCAGAAGGGTTCAGAGTAAACACTTTTAAGTAGAGCATCTAAGAGACAGCATAAATACACTTCTCTTTGGAATTGCATCTAATGGGAACTCCCCCATTAGGCCCGTGGCATTTCAGAATTTAAACCAGCATTCACGGTCATTGAATGCCTTTGACAATAATAAATGGGACAATATTATGGCTTTTAGTCTAGTTCTGGACTTGATTCACTGTTTGAAAGTGAAATGAAATTTCAAATTTTCAAAGTTCAAAACTAAAAAAATCATTTCAAAAGCTGAAACTAAATGATTTGTTTGGTTCACTTTAGTTCTATTGCAGGAGGGAGACTTGGGAGTGTGAGTTGGAAGTACAGCTTATGCACAGGCAAAAGAAATGTGCTCTAAACAAAAGAAACCTATAGCTATTCATAGCCATGCAGTCTGCACTATCAATAGCAAAGAGAAAAATATTCACCCCCCTCCCCAAACAAACTATACTAAAAAATATGGAGAACAAATAAGGTAAACCCTTACAGTATATTAGGTTAAAATAAAAATAGAGCCAAAGAAATATAGTATAGCTTAATTTGAAGAACCTCTTCACCTTTTTCAAGAACCTCTTTTTACTAATTTCACTGTATTTGAAATGTTACTAGTCTCTTTAGAATATTAAGTTGCCTGTCTTCCACAACATATTTTTTCCAATAGTATTACTGGGTTCAAGCATTTAGCTTGTGCATTACAGTATTTTAGAATACAGAAATTGCAGACAAAATAAAAGACAAAATAATATACAAAATATTTTATTACTATAAAAATATAGTTGTGTGTAATTCATTTAAATTCAACAACAAAAATATTACATTCAGCCCCCCAAAATTATTAAATAGATGCTTGTTGCTATTTTTCACTTCCTTTCTGTACCTGTCAAAACATAAACGTAACATTTGCTTTATTATGGCAAAATCAATAAACATGAATCTACATATGGCTGTTTTTGTGTGTGACACAAGAAAGTATTTCTAATGTTCTTAAGAGCTGGTTTGAGTGATGCAACAGCAGCATTAAGCACATTCATATAAGCAGTTCTAAACGTTTTGGATTGACAGGTAAAAAACATACAAGGTATGATCCAATGATCAACATGCATGCACACTTCAATATCTTTACCAAAACCTCAGTGTAGATGAAAACGACTTAAATCACGAAATCCTGTCATGTTTGTGTTTTAGTTGAATTGCATTATACAGTAACCATGAACTCAGTCTTAAACAACTAAGCATAATCAATTCTGGATGACTCCAAATTATGCCAGAAATAAACATAAATTAAACACAGTTTAGATTTGAATTATAAATGGTTCTACAAAGCTTTTTAGCCAAACAAAACTTGTGGTACATCTTGCAACAAGAATGTAAATGAAGAAGGTAGTGGGTTTTTGTCTTACCATTGGCCTCCTTGTTGGGTAGGTTGCGTGGCTGGGGAACATCTGGAGGAAGCTGGTCAGAAGCGGAAACATACCACTGATAGTTTGGCTGCAACAGACAAGACAGTTCATATATTACAGCAACATGAAAACACAATGTCACACTGAGTTCACAATACAGTATGTAATGCTCAATGAAGAGAAAAAGAACTTCAGACAAAAGCGTTACATGTATTTGGCCACAAATGTGAAAATGTTAAGTTTTTTTCTCCTTTTATAGAATCTTAAAGGAGAAATCAACAATGGTACCCATATGAATGCACAGTACATTAAATGTTTTAAATAATCAATTAAAGAACTATCATACTAAACAGAAGCCCAGAAAATAAAAATAATACTAGGGAAATGCCTGAGAAATGAGAAATGTCAGCTGCGAAGCAGGTTGGCAAGTGTGTGAAAACAAGCATCTGATTTGCATTAAAACAAAATTCACCACCAATACTGCTAAAATGGCAATATCGGAGTGAATTACTCAAAACGTTTTAAAGGAAATGTTGTTCATTATCTTGTAAGCTCACTCTGATTACTTTCTGATTGCTTGTTTTGTCTTCCTTTCAACATCTGTTGTGATGCTTTCGTTGATATGTTGAATCCTGCTGATTGTGGACTGTATTGAGCTCTTTTCTACATGGCATGGGGTATTGTACTGAAGCAACATATAAGATTTATTCAGCTGTTTTGCTGAAAAGAAAAGCCTGAGAACCAATTAGTGGTTACTGCAGTTTACACACTTGATCTTGTGCAGAGATAAAAGCTATTTTCAAACACAAAGCAAAGTACCTTCTCCTCCAGAAGGATTCTGACAGAACATAACATTTCCACAGGAGCAAATAATGTTCTGATGGAGAAGAAATTACATTCCAACACCATCCTTGATTAACACTGCAGCTTAAAACATTGCAGCAAATGCACAGTAATAAAGTGAATACACACCATGCTTTTAAATGCTATTTTAAGAATAATTAATTGTAATTTCTCTCTGTGCAAAACACACAAATTCACATCAAAGTTATGTAGATATGTAACAAAGATTACAGAGCGAGAGAAAGACAGTTATAATTAGCTGCTATAAAGATCCATGTACTGCAGTTCTGCTTTTTGATTTATCATGTCTGAAACCATACTGAAACAATTAGAAGGCGTTTTTAAAACAGCTCTACTCACTGGGTGTTGCTGACGGTCCCCATGCCTATCTTGGAGATGACATAGGTTGCTGGGATTTGAACAGTGAGGCAATGCACAGACAGTTCCATGTGGGGGAAAAGCAGCCCAATGGGAACAGCAGTAGGGTGGAGGATACCATTGTTTGGCTGTTGATAGTGGAAACTGTTTCACCTTTGAAGAGAAAAAAAAAGAAGTCGTTTATGTTTAAAGAAGCACACTTACTCCATTTGCATTTTCCTAAGATTTTAATATAAACGCCATTTACAAAAACAGCTGACATCAGGCAAATTACCCTATTTAAGGATAAAAAATTCAGAATCTGCAGTACTTGGATATACTGCAAATTTGGTATCATACTGTAACTACGTAATTGCACATTTAAGCTTTGTACTAAAACTGAACAATCTCTTCTTAATAGATTCATAAACCACTGAAATGACACAAGTTACTGTAGACCTTTGTGTTGTACTTATTGCATGTATTTAAATCTGGTGATGTAAATATTAGTTTTGAAGATAAGAGATAGTTTTGCAGATTTCCTTATAAAGCATTTCTACTAACATTATCAGATATTATTATAGTATTTCAAACCAGATTTAGGATGAATGTTTTTGAGAGAGGAAATTGATGAGTAAAAAACTGAAAAGCCATACAGTATATATACATCTTCTTGTTGATTAAAAGTATGAGAAACTTTCAATCTTGTCATGAATAGTGAAGTCTCAGCCTCATTTTTAAAAGATTAAAACCGTATTTTTTCAAATGTTAATGGAAGTGCTGGTTAAAAGCCTGAAAGAAAGTGTTTATTTTGTTCCTAATGAACTGTTTCCTAAATATAAACTACATCTATTCCTCTAGGTGATCACTAATGATAACACAGCTTGCTTTGCTGGTTTTAAAATCATTCATTGTAAGGGGAATAGTAAGAACATATGAAAGGTTGTACATAAAAGGAGACCATTTGACCCATCTTTCTAATTTTGTAGCTCTGCAGCAAAATGAATCTAAATTTCATGCAGCCTTGTCCTTAATGAGACCAGATTTTGGGCCTCAACCACATGTTTGGTAAGCCTGGTCCAAAGCCTAATACCTCTTTGTGTAAAGAAGTATTCCTTTTCTGTTCTAAATGGAATCTCTTATAGTTATCAATTGTGACCCTATATCCTTGTTTCACTAATGAGTATGAAATAGAAGTCTTTGCATTGACCCTATACAGTATATACCCCTTAGGGATTTATTTACTTATATCACATCTCCTATCAAACTTCTTCATTGTAGACTAAAATAATTAAGTTCCTTTAAACTGTATGATAATATACAGATAATACCTTGAGATCAGAAAGCATTCTTGATGCTCTTCATTTATCTTTTCTAAATAATGCTTTAAATATATGATACCACTATGAAAAAATGGAATTGTAAACATGTATATACAGTAATGCTAAAGGAGATTAAAATGACATTTCAGCGGTTCAGCCAAATGCTACTTAATGTGACATAGAGACAAGAGGTATTGAAAGTCTTTAATGTACTAAAAGTTTATTTGGTGTAATTTGCCTGGGAGGGAACTACAGCCAGCCTGAGAGGAAGAAGCAGACAATACCCTAAAAAAGAGATTAAGGAAACACCATAATAACACTGATGCAGAATTATTCAGTGATAGAGCTTGTGGTGTACAATTTAGGATATATACAGGGCATTGACCCAGGGATTGATAGGGTTTGACGTTATGATTGCAGGGGTGGTAGAAGACGGTTCACCAACCCAGATGGAATATCAACACTGAGGCTGGCTTGGTAGCCTGGTACAGAAGTAGTGTACAAACCAGCAGTACAAACCATACACTGTCAGGGAATGGACTGATTAATGAAAGCAAAGGGTTGAAATAAAAATAAGAGGCTCATAGGAATAACAGTGTAACAGTGTCTTGGGAGCAGAATGGGGGGGAAGAGGAAGAAAGGGGGGAGCAAGAGATACGTTCTGATGTTTTGTGGGAGAGGTGACAACATCTCTAAAAGCTGGAAGAGAAGAACAGACATCATGGGGACTCCAGGAAGCTGTGGTATCCATAGAGAAGCAGACGTACTGTAGGCCGGATGAGGAATTTAATCTCCTCCTAAAGTTCTCTTAAAAAACAACATTTGTTGCAATACCTGTTGGGCTGTGTTTTTCCCTGTTGACTTCTTCTCTGTTTGGCCGAGCATCCTCTGTCAAAAAATGATTGTTTATTACTTTTGTTCTGTTTTAACATGCTTTACAAATAATTATATATTTATCTTATCCATTAGCAATATGCAAGCTTTCTTTCCTGAGAATCCTGAACTTCAGTATCTATTCACAGTAACATTTTGTTAAAAACACTTTCTTATGATAATTCTGAAACTCTGATGAACAAAAAGACTCATGACCTGTGATAAAATCCCACACAAGATGTGACTACGGAAACAGCATTGTGTTTTTACTTCACACTACATCTTGAATTTGAAATCCCACTGCCAGGTTCTAAGATCCATGTCATATATGAATTTAGAGACAAACAGTTTTTGTTCACTTTCAGTCATGGTGGCTGTATCACATAATGACCAAAGACCAAACATCTTTTCCCTTCAAATGCAGTCAGAAGATATTCAGTAAATATGATTCAGATGTGGTTAAGGAAAAAAAAAAAACAGGCCATGTTCTGGCAGGGAAATCTAAACAGAGAAAGTTTGGATAGAAAAGAAAATCAAGCTATTGCAGACACTTTCTGTACTCCACTAATTAAAGATTAAAGACAAATGTTTACAACTGGCTTTCAGCTGTGTTGTAGAATGCTAACTTTGACTTTCAGTAGAAAAACACAAAATGGACTTACAGTATATCTGCATACTGTAAGTATATGAATGCTTTTCACAAACACATACATAATAAAAATTAAAATGTATCCAACTGAATATAAATTTTATTTTTATAAATGTAATTTGTTCTTATTCTGCTCAGCATGACAAGTATTCAACAAAATTCAGTGGACAGCTTCTTTCACTTAAAGACTGCGAAAGTAGACCTAACAATACCCAGTTCCTCACACAAATCCAAAAGAGCCTGTCATATTTGTTGTTTTCAGACATAGCAAAACCATATGAAAACACCATACAACTTCAGGAGGGAAAAACAGCACTGTCTTGCCTAGCCAGGCACGTAGTTTATGAGATACTTTAAAGTCCAAATTTGACTCTAACATGTATCTATTATTCTTCCCCGTTTTCCCATGTTTCAAAACATGGGGAGCTTTAGATCTTTCTGTTTAGTTTTTTGTTGTGATATTCTATTATCAGTCAGTGCCGATTCGAATGTTGGCAATCTATTACATACAATGTGGTTCTTTTATACCACATACTGTATATACTGTATGTAATATATTTGTTATACAGACACTTGTATGCCTGAAAGTAAACTGAAATATGCCCCGCTATGGAAAATTATATGAATTTAGTTTTATTTACTTAATAGAAGAATGTACTAATAAATGTATTAATAAGTTATGTAATTAATTTAATTGTATTCATACTTAAACTTCAATGGCTCAAAAAGATTCTATAGAATGAAAACACTGGATTTTATCATAAAGGCCATCTTCAGCCTTGTGAAACAATGTATTGACTAAGAACACATCATATCAACCTCCATTGACTATTTTAAGTTTGGCTGTACTAAAAATGAAGAAAAACAATTCACTTGAAAACCTGGTGTCAAAAAAGGTGACAAAAACACTTCAGAGATAAATAAAAATCCTTTGTGTTTTTATCCAAATGTGTACATGTAAAGATTGTTTGCATGATGTAAACAAAACGTCCTTTTTGAAAAAGGAGTCGAATCTTAAGCTGAAACACACAGATAGAAGCAAAATGAAGAACCAGGGACGTAAGAAAGTACAATAAAAATAAAGTTAAGGGATATTTGGGTCTTTGGCATAATGACTTCATATCACACTATTTGGACGATATACAGCATAGCTGTTCAATGATTTCATTCCAGGTGGTGACCTCACATAAAACTGAATGTCAAAGAAAAAAGACAAAGTTCACAGTTTGTATATAGTGCAAGAAATTCAGGATTAGGAACTAAAAAATAACCACTAAAGACATTTTTTTAAGGACTGAAGTAAAAGTGAAAAAGGCACCTGTGATTTAAGTATCTGTAGTTCAGACTGCAGTTTCTTACACCTCTTCTCCAGTTCTTCATTTCTCTCTTTTAGCCTTTCTCTGTCACGTCTTTCCTCCTTGAAGTCATTCTCATAAATCTGAGCCTTTTTAAACATTAAGAGGGGTACATTGTTGATCTCTTGTTTTTATAGCAATGGCTCATATATGCATTCGTTAGAAAAAAAGGACTTTCAACAGAATCAGCCGATATTGTTTACAGAATTATAAAGTAAATTATACTTCTCTGCAACACACTGCATTTCACCTCTTTACTTGTCTAAACAACCAGATTTTGTTTAAAGAAAATATTTGGTGTATTTAAAGTCTAACCACCAATCTGTCTCAAACTCCACTATACTACACATACAACATTTATAAGCTTGTCCTTTATGTACCCTTCACACCCCAAAAGCTACTTAAAATTCAATAAGAATATGTTATTGTTATTCCCCATTCAGCAAAGATGAATTCTTTGTGTACTATTTATTCCAAAAATATGTTTTGTGGTGGGTTAATTTTATCAAAATTTCTCATTACCATTAATATATCTTTTTAGTTTTTGTTAATGTACCTTTCAGTTTTTCATGTTTACCTGATGCCTTAGGACTTCAATTTGTGTTGCAGTTTCCTCTCCAAAGATGTTTCTTGCTGGATTTCCAAGACCTTCCAAGAGGATCTGCATTGATATATATGTTATTAGTGTTCCTGTTACTTGCTTCAGTGAATCCCATTATTGGAATTTATTCAAAAAATGTAAATGGCTGGAAGGTACTGTCTACTATTTGCACATACACAATTTAGGAATTATAGTGCAAAATGAAAGCTTAGAGAAATGTTTAAACATGGAAAAAATTTTTTTTTAGGATTTGTGAATTTTGTAAAGGAAAATACAACACAATATGCACACATTCAACAACATTCTCACAGGGTTCATAATATCATTACAATCTTGCTAAAACAAGCATATAACCACAATAATAATGCTGGAATTCTTACATTTTGTTCTGTATTCAATTATTCCTGCAAACAATCATCAAATAAATAAATCTGTAATAGAGGCCTTAAATCTAAGATCTAAATCTAAAAGTCTGTTTAGGGGTCTCATTTTAGCTCTGAATTATTTTTGTGGATACTAATCCTAAACATAAAACCACAATATAGTTCCACACAATAGGACCCTTCTGAAGGCATTCACTAAAGACCAGCAATGGGTAATCCCAGTCCTGGAGGGCTGGTTGTGTTTTAGAGGTTTTCATTCTAACTCCTCTCTTAACATTCTAAATCCACTTCACTTATTATTGGCTTAATGAGAACAATTTAAAAACTTCTCCCAGCTCTTCAGGTGCCGGTGGTTTAAGGAGACTCAGAAAACCTGCAGACAACAGTACTCCATGGCCCAAAATACCCAATCCTGCATTAGATACAGGGTTATTTCAAAGGCTATTGCCACATTGACACGGTAATACACTGCACTGGCTAACTGTTAAAACCAACACATAAAATCAAACAATCCTAGCCAAAGACTAGACATCGACTGCATTCTTCACTATTTTCATCAAAATGAAACGATGACAAAAAAATACCATTTTTTTTCCTAGTCTACTTAAGGCTTTCCATCTGATTCTTCAGGTTACTCTCTGATTAATACAGGAGGTACATATCTGGCATGCATAGTAAATAGTATCTTCCTCTTGTAATTCTGCAGTGATTAACTCTTGACATTTCCTGGAAGAAACTTTGAAATTGAAATGTTTGAATATGAGTGTCTGTTTTGGACACTCTTTTGGAGAACCTATCCAATGTATTTTAAATCTGAATTTCTCTACTGAGAGCAGGAGATAAGAGAACCACATAGAAAACAATTGCTTTTTTTAGTTTTCTTTCAGTAATTCATTTGCTTCAGCTTTATACACATTGTTTGACTTTGTATTTCCAGTTATGGCTAACTTATTCTTTCTTTAGGTTTGTGAAAACATTATTTTTTGTTCTCACAGTTCTAAAGAAGACGACGAAGTTATAAACAATTGTAGTGAAAGAGATTCATATGAACACCAAGAAGGCTTGTAACAATTAATGTAATTAAGTATTTAAGATCAACTTTCACACAGTTTAATCCTGCAAATGGCCTAGCATTAATCTTTATCTTCTCCAGACTCATGTCAGTATGTGAGCCAAAAACCACCCAGGCCAAGATTTTTAAAATAGTGATAAAGTTACAGGGATAAGATCAGAGTCAGTCTCCTCCAACGCCTTAAAAACTGACACGGTCAAACCTTTCTTTCTTTTGGATGTAACAGTATACAGTATCTTTAACTGAGACCATCTTGGCTCCATTCAAATGCATGACACCTAATGTTTGTAACAGCCACAGCTGCACTCATTTCAACTACAGCTATAAAAAGTATTAGATAAGACCAAAATGCTTTTCACAAAAACAAATAGTTCAAGAATTTAAAAGCACTTCCTGTTTACGTCTAGAAATGTATACCTCTGTCAAACCACTTCCTCTACTGTTCAGCAGATAAACCTACACACTTCTTTGAAAAGTGTTTTGAAATGCTAAAAGAAAATATTTAACATTATAGAAAGGTAGTGTGTAATCAGCTGTCTGGAAAATTTCACATCTTGAAGTTGATGTGTGTGCTTCTATACTAGAGGTTATCTGCGCTGTTTTTTAATGCTATTTTAACCAACTACAATAACCGTGCACTTCTTCAGGAAACATTTGTGGTTAACTGATTTGTTATAAATTTCTTAGGGGGTGTTTATATTTGTGCTGTACTTCAGACAAATAAAAATGTTTAGGGATGTCTTATCTCTTGTTTTATTTTACAGCCCTCTCCCTTGCCCAAAAAACAACCTTTCCCGGGTAAGTCAACCATAGTAGTCTGGCATAAATACATAAGGGACTAAAGCTCTTATTAGTGGAGTAATGAAAGTGGAAGACTAAAAACCAGCTGCAGATTAATGAAGTCGTCTTTCAAACTATGTAAAGGTCGGGTGGAAAAACAATAAAATGATGCCTAATGGACAAATAATAAATAAGCTTTTCTAAAAGGTGTATTATCCTCTTATCAAATACTAACAGGCTGTATTTACTTTGCATAGTACACTGTGACCTTTAATTCACAAAGGTGATGCTCTTATGGGTGAAGCTTATGTTTAGGATTTGGGAGACCCCACTGATTAAATTTAGTTATAGTCTAACGCCCTGTCCTGTTGCTGTGAGTCACTACATCAAAATAACACAAATCTGCCATGCAGGCTCAGAAGTAATCTCTGAACCAAAAATAGGCTGAAAATTGGGAACACTTGTACCTCAAAGATCACATCTGTTTAATTATGTAATCAGTGAATCAGGCAAAACCTTAGAAAAACAATAAAAAAATCAGTATTATGGCGAGTAGGCTGGTGATGGGAGTGCAAACAGATGTACACCTGATGTTTCAAGAGCAGCTTTATTTTTTATTCCCTCCACTCTCTTTGTGACAGGCCTCCAGTAACAGTATTTTGTCAGGTGCTCCAGCCTAGTCGCTCTTTTGCTGGGATCTCCCACTACATTCAGACAAAATTCACTCATTCACTGGGCCTTCCCCTTCATCTCTTTCACAACTACATGTAACTCAAGAGTATTAGTGGGTGTGAGAGAACCCTCCAAAAAAAGACTAAATATGTTGAATTGCCCTCTGTCATGCCAGGATAAAATAATACATACAACACCCCCCCCCACCCCTGGACGGATCTATGCCACTCTACCATAAATAGAAAAGTATCAGGTAAGATTACAATGACCTTAAAATGTGAGTATAATGTTAAAACATTTAATGCTATATCTGACTCACGGCTAGTTAGGCAATAGCAAATCTTTTTAACAACGGCATCCTGCTAAAGTCCTCATGTGTTTCCCAAAAATCTCCCAGGTTATACTTCAGGGTCAACGAATATGGGCATAATTAAATATCTACTTGGTTATACAGTGCATAGCCGTTTGTTTTTTAGAGTATAAAACCCCACATTTTGAGATTTTATAGGTTTTAAAAAAAACTAACAACTGAACAGATTACTTTTTCCCAGATAACGTAACTAGAGCTAAATACATTTCACACAGAACTCAAAGATCAGTTTTCTTTAATTTCTTCAGGGTATTATGGTAAAATGTCAGCATAATTAACATAAATAACAAATGTACTTTAAGGACTAAGCCTGAAACATACAGTATTATCATCATCCTGAAAGATTACGATGTACGGTATTTGAGCTCAGGCAATGGTTTGAAGCTCATGGGATTTGATTAATTGATATGATAGAAATACTGTAGGCACTGGTTAATATACAAATGCATTTAGCAAGTTAACACAGTTTAAATAAAGAGATGACCAGTGCTTACAGGCCGCCAAATTCAAAGCACATGCAAAACTGACTAGATTTGTACAAGACAGCTTATGTCTAATCTACTTGTAAGACAAAGAGGTTTGCAGAACATGTCTCAATGAAAAGCATAAGAATAGCGATACTAAGGAAATGTTGTGTTCTTCCTAAACATACCTTGCTTTGCACTCCATTGGCTTTTGTTTGCTTTAAAATTACAGGGGATATGTTAAAGGAGCAATACATTTTAAAAAAAGAATGTTTAGTACAAGTTTAACAGTTGTAAGACCTCATTACGAGCATTCTTGTGATAACAGACTAAACACTTTCCATGTCTCATATAGCACTTTTTCTTAGCTATACGTTTTCAAAACTAAATTAATTAAATACACAGTAGATCTTAAGTATGGGAAGCCTTGTCTGTTCATGAGCCTCATGTGATGCATTTTTAGAATTCAAGTAAATTAACTGAAACTAATGACAGGAAGAACAATTTGTCAAAAACGAGCTTGACAACCAGTTGCCATGAAGATGTTTTGTTTGTTTTTTGATGTTTTACATTATTCAACCACATACGTTCTCAATACACCATATGCTGGTAAATGCACACAGAGAATTCTTTGTGAAATTGAGGAACTTAATATTCGATCAGCAGTTGTGTGAGTAATACTGTACCATATTCAGTTCTGTAAACTCAGCTCCCATACCTTGTTAAGTCTCTGAATCTCACATTCCTGGTGATCCTTTCGTTTAGTCAGAGTGGCATTCTGTTCCTTTAAATTTAGGCTTTGCTGTTTAATTTCACATAGTTCAGCACTGAGTTTAGTGTTTTTTTCCTGCAATTACCGAAAAAGAAACTTTTTAGTTCAACTTTCAGAAAGTAAAAAATCATGTACTGTACTAGTGACTCATGACTTTAGATCTTAATCACAATGCCCATTTTCCCTTCCATCAAATCAGGGATAATACTTTATATATCTTTAAAAGCACAAGACATTTGATTAACATTAACAATTAAATTACTAAAAAGATTACTTTTTCATGTTCACAACCCATTTTTTGAAAATCACTAAACCGCTAGATCTGTACCTTTTTAATGTAAACATACTGTAAAGTAATTGAATATTGTACTTGAAATATGTAACTTACAAATATTAAATATTTATATATATATACTCTGACCATATTCAATGTATATTAAATGTGAAATACGTTTTAAATTTTTCCATGCCCTGTTTAGTTACTTCAGCTTAGTAAGAAAATAAAACACACCTGTTCTTTTTCAATTTTTTCTTTGGCCAGGACCAGCTTCTTATCAAAGTCTTTCTGCTTTTTATCCTGTTCTGCGTTGACTTCAGTGATAAATTTATCACAAACAGTCAATCTCTCTTTCATTTCCATTATCTGCATATTCAATATTTACAACAGAATTTGATTATTATAGATTGTTTTTCATGGTGTAATTTAGTTTTATTTTAAAAAGGTGTACAAAACGTCCAAAGTAGGAATATACAAAAACTAAAACAAAATCCTACTGTACTTTCATATTTTCCTTCTCAAGATTTAATTAAATTAACATTAAATATGATTGATATTATTTAAAATATGTGTGAAATCAGAACTGTGTTACCTTCAGGCTGTAGTGTTGTTTCATGAGTTTGTATTGCTCATCCCATTTCTTGTTCACATCGAGGAGCTAAGAAATGGAAAAGGCACAAAAGTTCATATGTCTGAGAGTAGTATTTCTATGTCATCCATGAACAATTCTTTCTAGTTTTATAGCAACAAATAAATCCTTAAGGAATCCCAAGTGATTAAAATATAGGACCATTTCACCATTAAGTGCAGCAACCACCTGAAGGGTGCAGAAAGCAGGAATTTAAAGTAGGCCACATTATACAAACCCAGAGAGGAATTCAGTCAGGTCACTAGGGTGACCATCCCTACTCTTACAGACAGTGCCATGGGACCTTTAGCAATAAAAATGGTCAGAAATCTGGTTAAACATCTCATCCAAAGGACGGTGCCTCCCACAATGTGAGGGGAGTTCTGAAGCTCATGAACTGGCACAGGGTTGATATTAAGTACAAACTCCAGAAAATGTTTTAAGAGCTGAAATAACTTTTTGAATTAAATTATTGCAATTAAGAATGTAGCTGCTGGAGCACAAAAAGACAAAGCAGTGCCCTGGGAAAAGGACTAAGACCCGTTGCCTTTGAGGTCTTCCATCCCAGTATTGACCAGGCTCAGCCTGAATTAACAGCCTACTGAAATTACATGGCTGGCGCTATGTAATAAAATGTTAGTGTCTGCATTTTGCTATCCTAGGAATCTCAAGAAGTTATCATTGTAACTTCCTTTAGATTAATAAAACAAAGCTGTTTCCCATCCCATAAAAGAATATCCACAAAACACTGCTTGTGTAAAGGAAATATGAATAGTATTAATTAACCTCTTGTCTTTGTTTCTGCAGAATCCTCAATTGTTGCTTTAACTCTTCTGGTGAATTTCCTATCAGACATTCCTTTAATTTCGTGACCTGAAACAAGAACAATCCCTAAGAAATTAGAAAAGCAGCATTCAATCCATGCTACTTGGCTTTGTTTTTATTCAAAACAATTTACAAAGGTTCCAATTATCCATTTTTTGTTAACAAATGTTACCACCAATTTGGTGGTTTAAGCTATTTTGGGGAAAATCATCTTCATTTGATTTAAACCTATTACTAAACAATGTTGCCACTAATGGACTGCTGTTTTTTAAGTGGTGTGCACTGAAACATCTAGATCCAGCTAATTTTATGTGTGTATTGTACGTTTTCATGTAGGCCTTTTCCCTGACAATGACAGTATGAGCCACATACTGTACTGTTTGAATACACACCAACACAAGATGAGGTTAATGTACTAAATTTGCCGCTAGATGGAGCCCAATCCAATCTTCAAGGTACTAGAAAAGTGCATAGTTTCGATTATTACAATTTCATCCAATCAGATCTTACTTCATAGTCACAAAGAGACATCAACATGTAACTGTAGCTAATCACTTTATCAATTTAGAAATTCCCATATTAGACTTAGAGATCTTTTATTTTTCCTAGCTTAACTTACTTTTGTCTTTGACCGACTTTTGATGCACAGCCTGTATGTTCTGATTGTCTGTATACAGCAACAACAGCATTAATGATTACATGTGAGCTGTTGCTTAAATTCTGGTTCCTAAGATTGATGTATCAGATGTCAAACACCCTCCACAACTGTACAGATTTTCTAGAAAGGGGACAATAATTTACAGAACAACTCACCCTTCAATATACTGTATGTTGTGTATTTTTCAAGAATGTATGGTTACATCTTTAGGCCTACACAAGGTTCGCTGTGAACAAAATCAACCAAACTCTACCCAAGTCCCTCTGATTAGAAGTGGTGCCCCACATGTTTGAAACCTAGTGCCTATATTTGAATGACTGATTTTGGGATGCTCATTGTTATAAATGATTTAATAATATTAACAAAATCTTACCTTAGCTGCGTCACATAGCGATGTTTCTGTCATTCTGCAGGAGGATCTTGTCTCTTCACAATCCTTTAAAAGAGCAGCAGGATCCTTGGGGAAAATAAAGAACACTTCACAGCACTGTTTGACAGTCCACTCTGGAGAATCATGCTCATTGGTCTTGCTTATTCTTATATTGCTCCTTTTCATAACAAGGGGCAGCCCAAAATGTCACAACTGCACAGCTTCAAATTATTACTGCTGTGTGAGACGCACACTGGAAACCACTGCTGGCTTTTATTACTGGAAAACTCAATAAGGAAGTTAGCTGAAACGGAACAAAAATCTGAATAGAAAGTTTACACATTCTGTACACCAGTGGATGATTAATCAAACTATGTACAGTATACAGGAACATGGAAATCCAGTGCTATTGTGTAAATAGGATACTTGCCTAGAGATAAGAATGACATTAAAATATATGTCACAAAACATGTGTAATGTATATAAAACACATACAGTTTTTATAGTAAAAAGCTGTAAGAATGTATTTTCATAACTGAAAGTAGCAGTGACCTGTACAGTCTCCCTTATTAATTCTAATCACAATCATGATAGAGGATACCAAAATAAATTTTGTTAGTTTTTAGCTGTTAGCATCAGGATTAAAAATGGCTATTACCATTGAAAGGAGTATCATTAAAAGGAACAAAATGGACAAAAAGAAGATAAAAATTAAATTGCACAAAATGAATGGAGCTGTTGTGAGAGAAAATAGCCATTTACACTTTACGTATAAACAAGATTATCTCCTGGAGGCTTATTATAAACAATATTAAGTCCTAAAAACTTCTCATTTAATTTCTTCCTGAAAAAAAAAACTTTACAATCAACACTGAAATTATGAATGTGTTGTTATTATTAGCTGATTAAAAAGAAGCAATGACTTTGTAGTTTTTATTGAACAGATGTGATTTTCTCATTTCCAAGCTGTAAATTCCAGTACTGCAGGAATCAAGGAAGTGCACCTCTTTTTCAAACTTACGAGAGCATGACTTCTGAACTGAAAAAAACTTGCACCACTTCATGCCTACCTTCAGTTCAGGGTGAAGTTCATCTGCTCTGAAAGGGATGTTCTGCAAAGTAGTTTCCATTCTATTGTGATACCCTTTATTTTCAGCAACGAGTAACCTTATGTCACTGTTGAGTTCCACACTATCACATCTACAACAATAAAATACACAAATATAAATATTATATTAAATAGGGTTATATTTTACCTTGATATCATCCTTGGCTTATGTAACAGCTCTCGCTTCAATGAAAAAGGCACTTGATTGAATTACTACAAAATATATTTTGATTAATCATAAATTAATAATTGATTCTCTGATCATACTTTCAAGCAAACAATGGGAGTGGGTTTAATATGAGCTCCGTACTCCAATAATTTTTTTATTTTATTATTTATAGTGCTAGGTATCTGTTTTACTTCTTACTAGGTTTTCTTTTGTAAGTCAGATCTTCAGACAAACAATATCAAAGAAGAGAGCCAATTTAATTCTGAGTTTATTTAAAAATGTAGCATACCAAAGTTCTATCACAATATCTGAAGTTTTCTGAAATAATCTGCTAAATCCTTTTCATGCATTCTGTTTTCTTGTTTGTAGAGAAGACAATGTTTTACTTCTTTGCATTTACAGTTAACTGAACTTAAAACAGAATTATTTTATTATTTTCATATTCATGAGAATAATCTGGTTGTTAATCAGATGTTTACTGTGATCTGTCCACTTTAAAGACACTTTTTTATTTGAATAATTTAACTAATGTTTGAAATCTAAAACATAAACCAATGGGTTTGGACACACGTTTATTCATATACCTGGCAAATACAAACTTACACAACGGACACACCTAGTTATGTAAGCTCCGTGATGCACCTTTGTAGTGAGTCAGCAAGCAGTGTGTGACTCATGAACCTGGCTTGAATTTCTCAAAACCTCTCCAAGAATATGTTTAAGATGTATACATATACTTTAGTACTATTTGGGAACGCCAAGTACAGTTGCTGGAGCAGTGAAAAGTATTGTTAATTTTTCCTTACCTAAAGACTTAGATTCACTTATACTGTACCTCTGCGTCTCTGAGTACATAATTGTCTACTCTTTTATAATACAACTGATTGATACAAAGTGAGACTTTTATGAGGAAAGCTGTACACCTTGTGTGTTTGTTTTTCATATCAGTTTAAAATATTTGCATTTTAAGTGTATTTGTTTCCCTAAACAAACAATTCAGAACTTCTAATTATTATAATTATAAAGAATGTATGCACTTAAACATAATTTATCAGGCAGATATTTTGAAATTAAACATTTCTCTCAGTTGTGTAACGTTTCTGGTTTAAATAGGAAAACTGGTTTTCATCACTTTGAGACAGATTCTTCATTATTTGCATTTTGCACATTTCTGAAGACGAGAGTTAAAATTGGCAGAACAGCCATCACTATTGTTTTCAGCTACACTAGATATGTTGTTTCAAGCAAAATTGCAATACATTTGCAAAAATAATAGAAGGAAGAAGTAATTGCTCAAAGAACCAAATATATTTAAATAAAAGAATAGACATTAGTGAGTCTGTGGATAAGAGTGAAAAAGACTGTAGAGCAATTTCCTCTCTTTAGCTTCTGTACGTGGTGCTTCTAAACTTTAAGGATACTGCTTGTGTTAATTGGACATACAATTTAATAATTGTATTTTGTAATGTATAAACTGCAAAAGCAGCAAACAACTCTTATTAAAATGCTTTCTCACTGCATTGCTAAGCCTACATCAGGGCTATGAGGAAATACAGTAGATCCTAGGACACCTAAAAACAGGGTCTCATTTTTGTTTAATTTTTTGTTGCAAGATCGTTCAGTGTGCATACTGACTGGACATTGTTCTTACACCGGTAAAACCTGAAGCCACACATTACATGATTTGCCACTTAAGAGATGGCCATGTGTTCCAGGACTATTTTATCTCAAATTCTTTCTAATCCCCTTCCAAAGTACTGAGCAGCATAAATACTTCTTGAAAGTCACAGTATTAGTGATAATACTGTTCTATGTAAAATAGGATTCCAGAATTGTGAGCCTATTCAATGACTGTATCTTTCTCCGAAATGCATCCAAGCTGGAAGTCAATGAGCACACCAACACAAGCACTGGAACCTGATATGATGGACTGATTAAATTAAGATTTAAAACTAAGCATCTCTAGGACAGGACAGGTTTCAAAGCAGCACCAAACTTCAGCAGAGATGGAGCAGATGTTCGATAACATCTGGAATTTCATCTGCCAAGATCAGGCTGAAACGCTGATTAAGTTAATGACATGTTTATTTCAACAATGGCACTGTTGCAAGGGTTATGAATTATCGGCAACGTCATACTGTATCTACAGTTGCTTCCAACTTTATTCATACACTTCATATAATTTAATTAGAAGTTTGATACAGCAAAGAAAATGTGCACATTCAATACTGATAAAGTTAGAAAAGATGTATGAATATGATAATGATAGACATAACAATTCTGGTCAAAATAAGCCCAGTCAGAACTACAGTAAATAGACATAGGCCATTTATAGTGTGATGAAAAAATGCATGTATTCCAAAATTAGTATCACTGAAGCATAATATAATACTCAGCTGAAAATCATTCAAAGCTGTAACTTTTGAGCTTATCCCAATATGTATTCAAGCAATTAATTCATACAACCAGCTACAACATGAAAGACAGGTGATGTCTTGGTCATCAGTCCACCTCTGTGTTGTATAGGCAGTATGTTGCTGAGCCTCCATTTTCCATAAAAAAAACTTCTGTTTTGTGGTGACATCTGTTCAGCTAAATTCATTTTTCCTTTGCAAACATCTGAACATCAAGCAATCCAATCACTACTCCACATATCAATAGCAATACCACCATGTTTCATTGCAATATGCAAGTAATTAAGGACAAAAAAACTTCTGTTTTGAAAGTCAAAAGAATTACAACTGACTGTGATTTGAGAATTTAGAAGTTTCCCAAAATAAAAGTCTTTTTAAGTAACTTTCTTGTGTCCGCTACTGCTTCCCTTATGCAATGTTCTCTTATGTCAATAAGATTCCTCTTTGAAACTCTGCCATTGTTTTCATTGCTTTGAATTACACTTGAACCTTAATTGTCAATTAGAGCTCTGTTTATGTGGGTTGTTTTCTTTTGGACTTTGGATGCCTGAAAATTGTCTTCTGCTGATACAGGAATACAGAAATACCAATTGTGTTGTGTATTCTGGCTTTCCACGGTTGAATGATTTGTCCTCATGTGGAATACAACAGTTCCTTGGAAACTGTTTTGTGGCCTAGATGCTTACACACTGTGTGTTTTGTCACTATATTGGTACAGAATGACTATTCGTGCAACATTAGTTTCCATGTACTCACCTGGGTTGTGTATTTACTGCTACAGTGTCACGCCCCGCACTCTCCCTCACAAACCCCGTTACATTCCCAAGCCCACTGTTTCACAATCTCATTCCTAAACGGAACCCATCACATTCCCACATGCACCAGATTCCACAAATTCTTACTCCTGGACCAGTTATCCAACCACATCCCTTTCCCTTCAGTATTTAAAGTTCCCTCACACACCAACCCATGCTCACTATTGAGAAGCCTCCCGTAGTATTCTCTTCTGTGCATTTCAACCTTTTTGACTGATCTTCCTGTTTCTAATCTTCTCCTGCCCTTTTCAACCACGCTCTTTGGATTGTGTTTTCTCTGATTTCCCTGGTTACCGGACTCATTGATTCTCCAATCGACCAAGCCCCTGGATTACGTGTTATGGATTGTCCCTGTGCTACTCCACATTCTGCAGGATTCACGGTAATGCATAAGAATCCTCCTATTCTACCTATCGGTTCCCTGACATACAGTATGTTTCAGATGTACCATATAATGTGCAACATTAAAATTTGTTGATACATGTAAATATGTTGACAATACTGTAAATGTACAGTAATCTGTGGTCATTTGAAAATTTATAGATGCTTCTTGAACCTTCATGGCATTTAATATCAGAAACTGCAGCACATTTCTTTGAAGAATTCTCTGACTTTTCCCAAAATCTCACACAACTTCCACAACTGACAGCTACAAAAAATCCATAAGATATATTTCTTGATGTGTCAAACTACCCAAGGCTACTGACATGGTAACTTTCATATCATGAGCAGGATGTAAAAAAGCATGGGAAGCTAACTCAGATGTAGGGAAAACATTTGAAGACCATTGAGATACATTGTCGGGTCTTTTGTTATTTGTTAACTGAGAGCTGCTTTTCAAATCTTTTCAAGATATTTACCAAAAACCTGGTATATTACAGTATGTCAAGAACCTGAAGCTTGGTCACATATTACTGGCAGAGCAACAATCCAAAGCATACACTGAAGTCAGTAAAAAAATAGTTAATAAAATAGAAAAGTAATGTTTTGAACTGGTCATCACAGTCTCCACTAAGACAATTGCATAATTATCTGCAGAGCACAGATCACAGTCTCCAATAGTACTATTGTAGAATGATCTGTAGAGAGCAGATCACATTCTCCATTTGTACAACTGCAGTATGATGTGTAGAGAGCAAATCACATTCCCCACTTGTACAACAACAGTATGATGTGTAGAGAGCAAATCACATTCTCCACTTGTACAACTACAGTATGCTTTGTAGAGAGCAGATCACATTCCCCACTAGTACAACTACAGTATGATTTCTAGAGAGCACATCACAGTCTCCACTAGTACAATTTCAGCATGATCTACAAAATTGTGATTGCTGGATTTTTCATGGATGTGGCAGATATGGTATTTATATACCTAATATAAATAGTCATGAATTTTATCCAATATATTTTATGTAAATGGTGCACCTCATTTTTCTTTACTATATCAGCTTTTAGTAACACAGACTCACAGGTATTAGTGATGTTGAAGGCAGTTCTGTAGTTTTCTGCTTTATGTGCTGTGTTTACTTACTTTTTTATAATTCTAGAATCCATAAGGTTTCTAATTCATTACACTTTCCTGCAATACAAACTACAATTACTTTACTTACAATAAGCTACAGTACAATTACCTTTGAAACAAACAAAAATGCTGTAATATTCATAACAACAAGAAAAAAGAGAGAAACTGAAATTATATATTACCTTTGAAAATCTTCGTAATATTCCATTTGAGTATTCTCTTTTGTCATCAGCTGCTGAGGTCTCACACTCTGCGCAGTTTCCAGCTGTAAAACAGACATTACCGTCACTTTGGCTGGAAAGTAACACATGTGAAATGTGTGTTGAGATGAAAATTAGGTCCTCAGAAAAAAAACTAACCATAGTAAGATTCTTTCTTTGTACGTCTGCGTCAAAGAGGTCAGAGAGATGATGAGGAAACACTTTTGATATGACTTTTACTAGAGCCTAAAACCACATTCATTTCTATAATTTGCTACATTATTTTCATTCTCCTACATCTTGATACAGCTTTCATGACAAGGTGTATCCTGTGATTTCACTGAAGTGAATGTCAGCTATCAGCAGAAATATACAGTAAGCAGCAGAGAAAATCCACTCAAAATGTAGACCACTGTCTACGGCTACACGGGTTTCATGAAATGCCAGATATGGAGGGCGTAGAAAATGATGAGCAAGCCATTGTAATAAACAAATCATACGCTAAATGAAAGAGGTCTTCGGTTTGGTGGGAGATACTTATAGGTCAAATCACCCACTTTATTTCACGGCTTACCTGAGTTAACGGCAGACTACAGGATATGTTTCTTTGTCAGAAACACCCACCATTAATATAAATGGTCCCATACTGGGAGTCAGAATTGTGGTGTTCTTTTTAAAACACCACGGTTTCGGATATACAGGTGAATTCCCCTTACACCCTTTTCTTCTGTGATAAAGTTTGAGCAATATTTGTAACATTAAACCTTAATCAGGTTAGTGAAAATTAAATGCTCTGTTATATATACTGTACCATATGTGGATGATATGAATGGGTTTATTAATAAGGAACACGCAGTAATGTTTGCTTTTGTGGTCACAGAATGACCATAAATTGAACATAAGTCCAATGTGTAAAATCAATGCAACATATTTCATTAGCAACATATCAAGAAATCATGACAAATGTACAATTATTAAATAAAGAAACTTGACGTGTCAATTTCTGTGTGTGTAGAGCTTTTAAACAGATACTTCTACTTATGTTTTAGTAAATGTAAGAATTTTAATGTGCTTTAATCCCAACTAGAATTGTTTTTTGGGTTTTATTTGTATCGAGGAACACATTTAACGGTTTTCATGGTTTCCCATAATAAATGTGCTTTGATATTTGTACATTTTATATATTTATATCTTTGCCCTTGTTTAAATTGCCCTAAGCAGCAGAGCTTAGCTCAAGACATTGAAAGAGAAGGTGAGAGGACAAAAACAGACATAGCAACTGCTGCAGCTGTAATTGCGATTGCTGCACTAAATATTCCTGTCTTTCTCCAGTGTATCTGCGCTCATTAGAATTGTACATAATGCAACCAATTCATTTAGTTGTTGCAACATTGTTAAAACCTGTCTTAACACTTAAAAGTGGTAATACAAGACTCAAGCAACCAGAATTGATCAGTTTGATCTTTTCTTGACAAGCCACATTTATTGTTTGCAGAACCAAATTCCGCACAACAGTTTTGACACAACAAATTCTCAACCCCAAACTCCTAAAGTTCACTTAGACCCACTTTACCATCAGATAACGATTTTGGACTTAGCAAGGCGAGTTGCTGTGCTTCGTGATTGCGACAGTACCTTACCGAGGGTTAGCAAACACGTTTTTAGGGATGGTATCCTCTTGTGAATGAGGCCTTTTAATCAAAAGCATTACTGCCCTGACAATGCAAGTTATTAGTTATTACATATTAAATATTAATATTGTAATATTAAAATATTAAAAATAAAATATAAAATAATAATTGATTAATGTTGTTGTGTTTTGGTATTGATGATTTTGCATGTTGAACAACATATAAAGGTCTGTGACCATCTAAAAGCATTTCACATTTTTAAAACAAAAAGCAATTTCACCATTTTATTTTTTAAGCTCCATGATTTAAACCAAACAGTTTCTACTAAATATTGAAACGTCAGCTAATACAGAAAATATCCCTTGCTTAATTTATTCAAATATTTTTCAAATACTGCAACTGCCTGACCAATATTTTTTAACAATATGCAAATATTAAAACATCAAACTAAGTATAACAACTCACCATTTTATAAACAGAAGTCTCCATTATTCAATATCTTGCAAAATTGTGACTGCCAGATTCTAGTATTGGCAGGCAGCTCAGGAGAAAAAAATGGTTTTACTTAACGTCATGGCTTATTTAAATAAAAGTGAGCCCACTTAAAAGGGAAACCCCTTTCATAAGAAATGCACTTCCTCTCAAAATCTTTGACAGTATCAGTATTAAGAAAGCCCGCCCACGTTGTCTTCTAGGATTCCCTCTTAATCATAGGTTGTCATGGAGCAAAGTAAAGCACATACGAGCTCACCTACACAGTGAGACGGACCCACAACTGTCAAATTTGGAAAGGTTTAATCAGTATTAAGACTTAGTGCCAGTAATTTGAAAGGCTTACTGTAAATGCCCTGTTCAAGCGTAATATGTATTGCTTCCATGGTCTGCATGACATTTCCTTGCTGTACAACAGATTAATTTTTAATCTAGTATGCCAAAGATAATGTACAGTATGTAGTCTGCATACTGCATATACTGCAGACTTGGGGGTCACCATTTTTATTTACAGCTCGTTAGGTTTGTTTTTGAGAACAAATGGATCATTTTATTGAACTTTGTTGCAGTATTGTAGACATTATACAGGAATTACTACACAGGAAAAAGGGAAAACATCCAGTAAATCCATTGAGATGTTGTTAGGTAACTTAATGTTTTTTTCTTATAAGCAGTACATTGCTCAGTGGTTTCATTGATAAGCCACTTATTTAAACTACTTTATCATCTGCAAGATGATGTGATTGAGTGCAGTCAGATGAGAAGGAGTAAAATGTTATTTTGAAGTATAATGTGATTGTTGCCCTAAGAAATACAGTATGTTGCTGGTTTTGTGATGTGCAAATATGTCAGTTATGGATGTATTCTTATTTCTTGAAAACTGGGACTCTCTTTCGAACTAAATCTGACACATTACCTGTTAACAATCCATCCATTTTCTAACTGCATTTCAATTATTGAGGGCTGGATCCTGTCCTGGTAAGCAATGGGCACAAGGCAGGGTACACCCTGGACAGGATGCCAGTCCATTGCAGGGCAGACAGGCACATACTCACACTTATGGCCAGTTTGCTCAGAAGCCAATTAATCTACCCATAATATTTTGGACAGTAGGAGGAAACTGGAACACTCAAAGGAAACACATATGAACACAGACAAAACATACAAACTCCACACAGATAGCACCTCTAGAAATGAATGGCCCCAGTACTAGGAGGCAGCAACACTAACCACAGCACCAACTGTGCAATATGATTAATTTATTTAAAAAAAATATATATTTTAGAACTATCCTGTGATTGACCATTTTTTCTTGTCAGTTATTGCCTTGCTTCTGAGCAGCCCCGGTTTGGCCACTATTATAAACGTACAGAATATACAGTGTATCTGTAGTAGAATAGATACACCATTATATAAGAATACTTTAGATATCTTAAACATCTACAATGTTGAATATTTATGGTTGGTATTCTTATATAGTAGCATATGTTTATTGGACATATAAACCTCAGAATTAATTAAATAAAGTCTATATCATTGTATTGTTATGTTTATCACAACGGTTCATAATTCTTAACTTACAGCAGGGCATCCTTCAAAAACTGAATGTCTGCACCTATCCATACTGCACAGTAAAATCATGAAAAGCATCACATGTTCTTCTGTATATCCTTTGTGTTGCAGTTTTTGACTCAAAAACACATTCCCCTAATGTCAGTAAACATAGAGGGGATTTTGTAGCAATGCTCCCCTCAGAATATTATTAGTAAGCAGCTTTCCTGAATGATAACCACCCACAGAGTGCAGCAACCTGTAGATTAATGCTGTGGGCTGGAGTGGGTGGGTGAAGTGTATGAGACTTTGAAATGTACACATAATACAGGGTCTAACTGCATTGTCTTTGCCGAGAGGCTGGAAAAAAAAATCCAACGGATAAAACAATGTGCCTTTACTTAAAACTATTTTGTATTCTCATCCAAAACTTTTCTGGCCACCACTTTTACAATCCTGAAATTGTCTGTACTTCAGCTGAATCTGTCCTTTTCAGGAACACATTATTCACTACTGCTGCTGATTAGTCTGCTGCTGATTAGTCACCCAACAGTTTTGCTTCTTGTGCAATAATCATTCTAATTCTAAGTTTTTAATTTCTCGCTCTTGAAATCATGACCACCAAAAAACGTAAAATTGTGCTTACTTTTTTGTAGTCTCTAGTTTGATTTCTTCATTTAGAAATACTGTATTGATTTTCGTCAAATTAGGAGCAGGTTCTGCTCTAGAGCAAAATAGTTTGAGAATCTACACCAAAGAAATGTAACTGTCCTTCTTTCATCTGTTAATTTATACTGTATGTAGAATATTATAAATACTTCAAGGTATATACAGTATATGCAGTATTAGCACTCTTTTTATAAGAGGGTATAGAATAAGTTATATAGAGAATTATGAGTTTGTTCCTCATGCAAATGAAGGATGTAAAATATATCTTTAGTTTTGCCAGTCATGAAGTTGATACCTTTAAATATTATTTATTGTCAATCAAATCTTTCAGAATTTCTTTTACTTCCTTTCATGTGTGCAATACACATTTCAATTAAAAATTAACAGAAATTGCCCCTACAATGTAATGACAGTAATTATAACACGACAAAAAACACTTGATTACTTGCCATGGCATGTGCATAGTCTTGAGATTTTATTGGCTTTACTGTTCTGAAAATCAAAAACTACATTTGTGAACTGAAAAGAAAAAAAAAAACAAATGTATTTTTATCTTTCTGTACCTGCTGCATTATAGTACAAATAGTAATGTATATGAAAATGTTAAGCAAAATAAGTATTTTAGTCTTCAATACATTTTAAACACATTAAGGTTACTTTATACACTGCAGATTTAACCATTAGATCACTAGAGCCTGAAAGTAGAACGTTTTCATTGTAAACTCACCATGACTCCTAGATAATGCCCAGATACTGTACATGTGTCCAATGCTGTCAGTATGAATGCTTGACGGATATTATGGCTCAGATTCATGTTAGCAAGGCGTTTTATACTACCTCCTGGGAAATCCTCACAACCGCTCCCACTTCAAGGAGAAAAAAAAATCTCTCTTACATGACAGCGTCATGACTAAATGAAAAAGAATCCCTGTTCAGGAAAATCCTTTCCTTTCTATCATCTCCCTCCACACCTTGACAACAAACACAACCTACAATCTGTTTACTTTTATTTTGTAATGTACAGCTTTTGTAAATCAATTGTAACTAAATCTTTGAATGTATACAGGATGTTCAATATAAATGCAGGTTTTATAGAACATTGTCTTGTTTTCAATTTAAATCAATTAAAATTCTTATCTTCCAATCTTGTCTAGTAGATTATAATCAAAGGCACATTTCAAAATGTTGCACTAGAAAACAGGTTAAAACAAAAGTACAATAGGAAAAGATTTAATGCCACCTGTCTAAAACTTTAACATGTCTTTAAGGATTAAATCCTTATATTGAAATGTATTAGCAAAATTATTTAATTTCCTCCACAATAAACTACTTTGTATGCAAAGATCGTAGTTCAGTTTTGATAAACCAGTGTTTGCAAAATCAGTTTTTGTTGTTATGTAAGCAGGCCTTTCACCCACTCAGTCAGGTTGTCAGCGTCTTCATCACACCCACTATGTGTATCAACTCTCCAAATTATTTTTTAAAGTCCAATAAAATACCAACCACATACAAATGTCTTTTGTCACTCATTTACAATTTTTAAAAATACTGTATTATTGATCTTTTACCACACATTTTAATACATGTATTGTTTTAATGGTATCATTATCACATGCCTATCATATTACAGTGCTTAAGTTAAAATTAAATGAGTCATGAGTTTATAATTTAGAAATCCCCCACCTTTCTACTACAGGATAGAAACTGCATTTATTTTCATTAGTTGAATCCTCAGTTATACTCAGAAATGAAAATATCTGGCATTTAGTTCACCCTTTAAACAATAATGTCACTTAGTCATTTTTTATGGTTGCTGCTTATCCACATAAGACAGTATTGAAACCCAGGGTTTCGGTGAAATGCTAACTTATCCAAACTACTTTGAATGGCTAGTTTGTTCAGAAGAATTTTATTCAAAATCACAGAATACGTACAGAGCCACAAAATACAGTACATATTTTGACAGAGTACTGTATATACAATATATACTCATATACAGTATTAGCATATGAGTATAGAATATCTGACATAGTTTTATATTTTTATATTAGAATGGTGAGCAATGATTTTCATTTTCTTTGTTTAACCTCAAAAGGCATGTACTGTATAAAGGTTACTTCCGTTTTTTTCTGTATGAAGGATTCATTAACATTTTAAAAAACATATTAATGTGAAAGCATGTGAAAGCATAGCATGTGAAAACTGAGTCTAGTTTCTGTTTATCCTAACTTCAGTTTACGTTCAGACTTTTGGAGCCCATTACCAAAGAAAAAAGGTAGACATTTAAATTAGGTTTTTCATATCTAGCACTGATAAAAGATGAAACTCCCACACACTACAATATGTAAACTCACACTGTTTTATAGCAAGGCTAAAATGCTAAGCCTTTAGTTACATATTCATGAGATTATTAAATTCACAAACCTATAACCACCTGCAAAAATATTACTAATAAACTGAAATGTTAATGTTTCTTCCCAAAGTATATGAATTAGACACAGTACTTCAAAACTGAATGACTCAGACATAAAAAGATCATTAAAATCTCTTACGAAATACCAACCTGAAGTTATTACACATAGAGGAACACAAGATTTACTTAAAGCTAGCAAATAATATTAAAAATGGTTATTACTGACGGAATTGGAGATAATACTTTACAAAATATCTTTAGCAGCTGGACATTACATAACACTCCTACCTGTAATCCAGATAAACAGAAAAATCCTAATACGATGCTACAGCAAAACAGCTGATACAAATACAATTCAAATACAAAATCACTTATCGTACTGATATGATGTTTTACAGCTAAATTAGAAAATCTCCCAGTTACTTTCATTACAACATATATACAGTACCAAAAGGCCCTTTTTTAAAAATACTATCATCAAACACAGTTGTCCACCCCTTGTTGCCCTATTTTATTATATAGGCAGTGGTACAGTATACCAGTCCATCGCAGGGCAGATGTGCAGACACAAACGCACTTAGAGCCAATTTTTAACAGATGCCAATTAACCTACCAGAATGTTTTTGGACTGTAGATAAAACCCACACAAACGCAGCAAGAAGATACACACCCCATGCAGACAGCATACCAGCTATGGGATTGAACCCAGGAGCCCAGTGCTGTTAGGCAGCAATACTAACCCACCCCTCCACTGTACCTCCCCTCCACTGTAGGGGTGCGCCACTGTACCTCCCCTCCACTTTTCATGTTTCATAAATTCAACAGAAACTGCATTACCAAGTGTTGCAAATGATATTCTGTTAGCAACTGATGCAGGGAATGCAACAGTGCTTGTGGTCCTAGATCTTAGTGCTGCTTTTGACACAGTTGACCGTTGTATTTTGTTACACAGGCTTGAGTCTGAGGTTGGCCTATGTGGAACTGCCCTTAATAACCTCCTATATAACTAACCGTTTTCACTATGTTCAAACATCTAATATTTGTACTGCTTCGTCACTATCACCAGTCAAATTTGGGGTACCTCAGGGATCAGTGCTCGGACCAGTACTGTTCTCGCTGTACATGTTGCCACTAGGAAGGATAATACAAAAGCATAATATTGACTTTCATTCCTATGCTGATGGCACTCAAATATATATTTCATTTACACCTAACGACAACTTGTCAATTGTCACTTTAGTTAATTGCATTAATGAAGTAAAGTCTTGGATCTGTGAAAACCTTTTGTCACTCAACTCTGATAAAACTGAGATTGTGTTGTTTGGAGGCAACAGTGCGGATAGGACTCTGAGGGCTTTAAAATTTTGTCTCAGAGATTCGGCACATAACTTATTTAACTCTTTTGTTAATGCAGTATCGAAGGCGTGCTTTCTACAGGTAAGAAACATTGTAAAACTTAGGTATTTTCTTTCCACTCAAGACACGGAGAATCTAATACATGCTTTTGTATACAGCAGATTAGGTTACTGTAATGCTCTACTATCAGGGAGCACCTATCGCACCTTCAACACCTCACAGCAAATTCAAAACACGGCAGCTAGAATTGTTACCAGGAGTAGAAGGTACGACCACATAACACCTATACTTACTGTAGCTCTCTCCATTGGCTTCCTGTTAGGTACAGAGCAGACTTCAAAATTCTTTTACTTACTTATACAGCTCTCAGAGGTCAGGCACCTGTCTATTTAATGGAGCTGATTAATGTATACAATCGAAGTCGCCCACTTAGATCACAGAACACATGTCTTTTTCTAATTCAACATATAAATAAAAAAACAGCTGGCGGAAAAACCTTTAACTACAGGGCCCCTACACACATCCCATCCAGCGTAGCTGGGGGTTGTAAGATTGTCGATTTCATTGTAGTATATCAAGCTGCTTACTCAAATCATGGCCAAGCTAAACAGAGAACTGTATGTCCATGGCAGATGTACAGTAGACCACCTCTTTACCAACAAATATGCTGAAGACATTTACAAGCCACAAAACTTTAATCTATTTATCCCCAACCTTTCCCAGTCCTATCACACCAAGCAGTCTTTACTAGATTGCCAATAACCAGCTTCATAGTCAGTAACAGAGTAAGGGGTTACAATGAGCCTACTGTGCTGATAGCTCTCAACTGTACAAATTAGGCCTCACAGAATAACCTCACTCTCATTCAACAGTCCAAATAAGCTGGAACCTTCCACTCTACAATTTTGAGGTGTGACTATACACCTCACCTTTAGAAGGTCAGTTGAACATACTGTAACAGACTTCCAACAGCATATCAAGTATTGTCTTATTTCCCACACAGTCCACACAGATGAACCTTTATTAACACTGGCCAATCATCACCATCATCACCATATCAAACTGGAAGGAGTGGAATCTTTGGAATGCAAACATGAGAAGAAAGAGCAATTGAAATTCATTGAAATTCCACAGTTTCCCTCACGGGATCAATAAAGTATCTCTCTATCTGAAACAAAGGGTTGCAGCAACACCAATTTGTCACACCCCAAATATTTGATTATTTCTGCAAAGAAGCTTCGGAGTAGCCACCAAACCCATCAAGAGAGGACAGTGGCCAGTGTTCCGTTCCTCTCCCATACACTTGATGCCTTGAAGCAGAGTGTGTGTGTCTTCTCCAACATTATGAAGACACTGGTGACACAGTAATGGCACATCCCTTGATCCCAATTATATTTATATACTTCTGTAGTCAACTCAAAATGGGAATAGACCACTAGAAATCTGAACTTCTCTCTTTTCAGAGAAATGGAGAATGGTGTAAAGAAACATTTAAGGACTGAGAGAAGGGCTTTCTGGATATTTCAGTCATGTGTTAGTTAAGTTAAATTTGTCTCAAAGACAAAGAAGATCAAGCCAGGCACTGAATTTTTCCTTCTTTCTTATTTTTCTTCCTAAAGTTATTAAAAAACTTTTGACCATGCACTGGCAGGCTCAATTCTTTGCCAGGGTCATCTGCAAAGAAAGGTGTACCAAACCTGTGGCGCAAATCTAAAGTGATGAGTCTCCCAAAACCAGAAAAAGTCCCAAACTTAAACTAACCTTAAAACTACCATTCAGTAGTCCTGTTCTGTGTTTCCACCTCTTTAAAGTGCTTTATTGTACAGTGAACAGAAAAAGATGTAGATTCAGAAAGTCAAACAAGCGGACTGCTGGAAAGGGCAAATCTGGATCCAGACCTTCATTGAGAATGGGCTTGAAACTCAGACCACTGGCCTTCTTGATCCCACTGACACACTGGATATAGGAAGGCACACGGGTCTCAAAATGTTAATTCCTAGCTTTTGGGGTCACTAATGCCATTGACCATCCACCGCGAAGACAAAACATTTCAGAGTACACACAGATGATGAGTGTGCATCCACAGGCCCCAGACCTTTACAATCTTCACACCATCAACTCAGTCTTGCGATTTTATCTATACAATTTTGTCATATTTCACTTTCATAATGCATGCATGCAACTGATACAATCATACATAGAAGTTAACAATTTATATGTGCAAAGATAATCAATATTATGGGGTGACCAGGAAGTCTTACTGAACCCCATCTAACATAAAAATTGTATTCCAGTGTTTAAGGACAATTTAGATACTAATTTATGTCTCCTACTTAAAATACTATCACCATGAAGTTGGTCACAAAGAGTCCTTTGTGAAAAAATGTAAAATATGTTCTATGCAGCAGTGATTTCCAAGGTTCCAGCTGTCTGTGGGCAGCTGTTGTAATCTTGTTCAGCTCACCTTTAATTCCATATCCCTAGGGGTGCCTCAGAGCCACCTAGTGGCAAATTACTGTAAGGTCAAGCAAGAACACTAATCTGAATTTATGGAATGAAACTTTGAGTGAACACTCTACTGAGTCCTGTCATTACTAGCTTGAGTTCCGAAAAGCTGATAGTGATGAGACTACATAGGCTGGAAAACATAAAAACTAAAAGAAAATGGTCAAATTGTGTTTATTATTTATAATTATTTTACCGCTCATTATTAAATTAAAAGCAGAACAAAACTGATGAATTGTCAAATTATATTTAGCTTTATGCAACAAACAATTATATAAGTATTTAGCAATAATAGTTACTTAACATTTAAATGTGAACAAATATTCTAAAAACCAAGATTAGTTGAACTAGGGTGAAGCTAAACCTGTGCTGCCATATCCCGAGTCTGAAAAAATCATCATTCTCTTATTTTTGGATATGCTTTCCATTTCCTTTCTCTGGTAAATTGCACACAGTACTCAGAAAAAGTACTCTTTCAGGACACCTAGTGTCACGCTGCTTTTCCATAGTGACAAAAGCAACCAGGAGCCACATGCTAACCTGGAGAAGCAATGACAGTTTTGTTTAAGAGTGAATGCACTTTAAGTACAGGGTTGGTGGCATTAGCAAAGCAACACAAGCTTTTAACCACATGGAAACATAGCCTTGTCATATTTTATAGATGAAAAAATAAGGTTTACTAATAGATTCCCATTAAAAGCAGGAGTGTACAGTATAATAATGGTTGTACACTGGTGTTTCTGTGGGTTTTCATTCCAAATCAGCTCTTAACAAGCTGGTTATGGGCTTAACAGGACCACTTCAACAACTTCTCCCGTCTTCCTCAAGTGTTTTAAAGCTAGAAAAGTAATGGGCACATGACCAGGCTTGGACACCCCTGACTTAAACCCTTGAGAAAAATTCTCTACTTTGTTCACCATTCAATCCTGATGTTAGACATTCCCATGACAGCGATGAATATTTGGAACACTTCCTTTTTATTTTTTCTATTTATCCTAGTGTACTGTAAAAATATTAATAATTATAGGCCATTATTATTATTATATGTTGTTTTAAAAGAAATACTAATAACCATAAACTGGTTTACAGTAAGTCCCTTGCTTGCTTAAGATGTACAGTTTCACAAGTGAAAAAACTACATTTGTTGCAGCCCATTTTAAAAAATCCCTCCCCACATTTTGCATTTATTATGCACAGTATAAGAAACAAAGCTGGGGAAAAAAAACATTTCTCACAACTAAAACTGAAGTAAAGATTACAATGATCAGAGCAGTAACTAAGAACAGGTTTAGATAAATTCAACATTCCCTGGAATGATGTACAGTATGACAGGGATGGTACTTGTATGATGCTGCTCTTTGTTTTACATACAGCAGTCCTTCACTTACATGTTGTGCAAATGAGATCAGCAGTCCTGCATTATATTCTTGGCAAACAGCATTACCATTTTTCAAGACCAACAAATGTGATCACTATGATAACAAAGAGATGTTCTTTCAAATCTAAAGATTACTAATAGGAAACCCACCTGTATAAGATAAGATAAGATCGCTTTATTGGCCACACACACATTTTGTATTAGGAATTCGTGACACATAAACAGGGAAAGAAGCTTGGGGTCATAGCGAGAGTTAGCCATTTATATGGCGCCCCTGGAGAAGTTGGGGTTAAGTGCCTTGCTCAGGGGTCCAACGGAGTCAGATTCCTTTGCCAGCCGCAGGATATGAACCAGCAATCTTCCAGCCACAGGTGCAGATCCTTAGCCACAGACCACCACACCACCCCATGTATGTACAGTATGTATACATGACAGATCATTTGTCTTTTGATCATTTATTTGTCAAAAATACCAGCTTTGTCCTCCACTTCTACTTCAAAAAATATAAATGAGCAAAGACCATTTACCCCAAAATCAAACAGGCAAAAAATGTCATGTTGTTTGAAATCAGTTATCTGTAAATCATGAAGAAGGAAGTTATTTCTTGAATTCATAACTGCAAGGAAACCTGTGGATATTGCAATCAAATTCCACTGTTTGTGTGCAACAGTCATTCAAAATTTATAAAATGGGATCACTAATACTTCTGGTTATTCTCCAGAGATGCCCTAACGTATACTAAATGTTCTTTTAGTGCACAAAGGGCAAAGAACAGTATAAAAAGAGTGGAAAAATAATTCTACCATTTGTCCATTTTTATGTCAAATATATATTAAAAAAAATCTATACCAGTCTAAAAAACCCTCTAAGAAAACAGTTGTGATAAAATCATTAATTATAACCCTTGATATGTACAGTATTAAGAAATCAATACTGATGTTATATACAGTATATACGTCATACTTTATGATAAATGATTTAATACTTTTTATAATTGAATTGGCTTAAATGTAACTTAAAATGTAATGTAAAGTCAGAATTGTACAGGGGAATAAACAATATAAGCAAATGTAAATCGTAAAGTAAGAGAAAGAGAAGCCCTAGTCCTACAAGGTCAGTATTTCTGACTTTGTTTTATGCTGACAAAATTCCATCCAAGAGCCCACTTATCATGTACAGAAATCGTGTATAAAATTGTCTTGTGAGAAGAACTGCTTGAAATGGGTTGTGTGTAAGCACAGCAGATGAAAATAAGTTGCTTTTTATTCGCAACATTCACATTCGCAGGTTTCCAACTAGCTGAAATGAAACTGGCACTTCTGGCGCAGTCTAGATTTGAACCACCCATCTGTGGGTTGTAAGGCCACTTAAAAGACTTTACCAGATGAGTCTCTGAATATTCACATTTTTGACTGCAAATGTTTTAATCCCAGCAAGGACCACATGGTTTCTGGGGATCTTCCAAACACTTCAGGATTGTTGACCTGATAGATGAGAAAAATTGTTAGAATTTCTTGAAAGAATCAAATGGGCCATTTGTATTGTAAGATGTTCAAATTAAATGATATAACAAAGTAACGAGTACTTACAACAGAACTGTTGTACAGGTATATTTGAATTTAGGGATCAAAGTCTTTTCTAATTCTTGTAAAGAATCATTCTTACAGGACATCCTTCAGAAAAAAAACAAATAAGAAAACCTATATTTCAAGATGAAGTTCAATTAAGTAACCTGTCCTCTAAATCTTTGTATAACACATTGTTTCATGTAAGACATACTGTAATGTGCAGTATTACTTTGCAATACTGTAGAACCATGCTGTTTTCTTCAGAAATCAACATTACTAAAAAGAAATGTAATTATTTTATTATACTAAGTATAATAGTATACATACTTTCTCAACAATTATTATTCTCTACAGTAATCCATTTAGCAGTAATATTCTGAATGCCTACTTTAAATAATACTCTAGATTTTACTCCAAATATTTTCCATTTTACCTTGACTCTTTCATGAAGAACCTATTCAAAACACAGAGGTTTATACTACTTACGGGTAATTTTCCCTGCCAATCAGTACAACATTCACGTAATTAATTTTCATTGGGTTAAACTTCTTGATTTCGACGCTGCCAAATATACTGTTGGAAAAAAACACATACAAAAAAACAGACATAAAGGACTGATAAACCGAATAATACTATGAATACAATCAATGGAACCACTATTGAGAAAATTGAAATTTAAAATACAAAAGGTTTAATATTTTGTACAGTTGCCCCGTGATCTAATTACCAAGAAGAATATTTTTAGGCAAAATACATACTAGAAATGGTATAGTTCTAATTCCTTTATTTATTCCTGCATGTAATTGTTTAACATAAAGGTATTTGCAACAAGTATTATAAATCATTACCATTATAAAATATTAAAATACATGCTCAGTTATATAAAAATATAATACACTATGAAATAAAAGGGACAGAGTCTTGCTCCTCTTACTGTAGATTTCAATAGAAGTTTTGGAGGGATAATGATGACAAGTCAATCTCACACAGCTGTTCCTAATCACCATCATTACAGAAATTATATATATCAAACAAAACATCTCTCAGTTTTCCAAACTTTCACAAAGTATCTAATTCTTGAATGTTCTTGTCCCTTATGTATATGTATATGAAATTATGTATATGCTCAAAAAAACTTATTCAACTTGATCCTAAACCTGTTTATTGTTTTTCTAGGCAGATCATTTTGTACCAAAGTTTCAATTCCATAAAAAACATTCCAGCACAAACAGAAATGTGTACTTTTTAAATACCAAAGAGTCCATACATAAATCAATATTTAATGTTGAGAAGCAGTGTAAAGCTCTAACAAAAGAGAAAACCTTGTATTACAAATAAAAAGAACAGTCTTTCACGTTAGTAATGGGGAAACACCTAGTTTCACAAAGAAGGAGATAATGTATCAAAGGGATATGTAAAGATCAGGGGCAAGAAGGTGTCAAAAACAAGCAAAAACCAAGTTCCTATATTTGTCAAACAATTTAAATTGCTACAGATTCCTTATTTCCAACACAGGCATCACAGTGTTGGAAAAACACTCTCTCAGTGAACTACAGAAGCAACTAGAGTTGTCTTTTTGATTAAAAAAAAACAGCCACTGACTAAATGAAGTTCAGGTGAAATAAGTTAAAATTAGTTCATCTATAGGTTGTTTGTCTCTGTCGTTTGAATGCTCTTTGAAGTGCTGTAGAGGCTGCCTTCTGTAAATTTTCTGGTGTACAAACCTGTGACACTGAGATTGTCACAGTGCTACCGTAGAAGTAAGCTCACAATCTTATCAGATCCAGTTCACAAGCAGGCAGTACTTTTACTTAACTCCTATTTTTCTGCTTCTTACCAGCAGAGGCCACTCTAACCACACACAGCCACCCTGCCAGCTTCAATGGTTTGTGTGGGTTTCTACTTTTCCCCTGGCATCACAGTACCTACTGTAACTTCTACTGTAATAATATTTTTTAGTAAAATGTCTTATCAGTTAAATAAACATCACCTGACTCCATTTTGCTGCTACTGTATGTAGTGGCTGGAAGATACAGTACCTACTGTAACTTCACACCACATTAATAATAGCTAACAGTTGCAGTGATAGTCCATCATGGGCCACATTGCAAAAAATAAATTAAAGGTCCCTTCTCCTAGCAACACAATAGCACGCCATAATAATATAAAGCTACCTTCTAACACATTTGAAATTCATCCTCTGGACAGAAAAACAATTGTCTTGGCTAATGTCTCTGGTGGAAGGCCTACAAGTGCCTTCTGATATTACACATGACTTTACATGTCCATCAATAATATTTTTTAGTAAAATGTCTTATCAGTTAAATAAACATCACCCGACTCCATTTCACTGCTACTGTATTTAGTGGCTGGAGATGACCACCGAGGTGAGGTGAATTCCTCCTCATGAGTCTGTGTCTCACCGTATCCTCCGCAGGAACCTTCCTCTACAGGAAGTCTGCACGGAGTGTCTGAGCAAGCGCTCAGCCAGAGTTAACATAGGGGTCATGCTCTGACACTGTCAGTTACAGTCCAAAAAAGTATATTTTAGTCAGTTTGATTGCTGTCTCAAATGGCTCTCTTTGGTTTTTCGTTCGAGAATACCACTTTTACACTTCTGTTGCATAGGTAACGTAATGTGATCATGACACATGGTTAATTTTTTTAAATCTGCCACCTCTTTCCTTTTTTGTTCTTCCTTTTTCCCCATAAAGCTTTATTTTGTAATTAGTATATTTAAATATCACCAGCAATATACTTCAGACAGACCTTTGAAGTCATGTCAATCATACATTGGTTGATTAAGTTTAAATAACATTTTATATATAAGCGCCCAACCCCAGATCTAGCTCTGACATTAATCAGATTGTTTAATCATCGACTAAATGACAAGAAAATATTTAAAAAGTTCCATGTGTGGGACAAACTTTCAATATTAGTGGTATCAGTACAAATGAATCATAGTAAGGATAAAAAATAAATAACTATTTCTCTAAAACATGCAGCGTTTAACTCTCTATATGAAAGTTAAAAGTTTCAAATGTGGGATTCCATGTTGGGGCCCAAAGTTTGACTGGTGGTACCAGGGCATAACTTAAAATTCCTAGGTGTTCACATCTCTCAGGACCTTACATGGACACTGAACACCTCCAGTCTCATCAAGAAGGCACAACAGCGGTTGTACTTCCTGAGAAGGCTGAAGAAAATACACCTACATCCACAGATCCTTTCCAAATTCTACAGATATACGGTGGAGAGCATACTGACCAGCTGCATCACAGTCTGGTACAGCAACTGCACCGCATCTGACCATAAGGCACTACAGCGGGTGGTCAAAACTGCCCAACACATCATCGGCAGTGCCTTACCATCCATCCAGGAAATATACAACACCAGGAGTCTGAAAAAAGCCACCAAAAGTATGTCTGACCACACTCACCCAGTCATAACTTGTTTGTTCCCCTACCATCTGGCAGAAGGTTCCAGTCACTCCAGTCGCACACAACTAGACTCCAAAATAGCTTCTTCCCCAGAGCTGTCAAGTTCGTGACGCCCCCACTCTCTCCCATCATATTATGATCTCTCCTAACATCTTCCTGTACCCACAATGACTGTACTCCTACACCACTACACACACATGTAAGCTGAAATTGTACCGTCCCCTCGATAGCCCAGTAAAACTGTACCGGTTGTAATAATATTTAATATTTATTAATTAACCATACAATTTTTAACCATACTATTTTTGCACTGTTCCAAGAATTACCTTGCACTGTTTTTGTGCTGTTATATTTTCTCTGTTTGTGGAATTTTGCACAGTTTTGATTACTTGATTACATGCTATTTATGTTGTTATTATACGGTTATTGCTAATGTGTTATTAATATAATATTATATTTAATATAATGTGTGTCTATTGTCTTATCTTCTGTCCTATTTATATACTGCACCTGAGTGACTAATGAGAAACACTTTTCATTATACTATGCACCTGTGTAAGTTTAATGACAATAAAGTTGAATTGAATAAAAAATAATTATCAAGTGTCTACGTACCTTTTTGCACTAAAAGGTTTATCGATAGAGCCGTTCAGCATTGCTGTGACATTGCCACATGCCGACTCTGCAAACTGCAAAATAGAAGAATATACACATTTTACTACTTCACTATTTCACTACTTTGCAAAGTAGCATAAAAATATGGATGGTGTTCCTCCCTTCCAGACCATTCTGAAGCTAATAATCAAGAATCCATGCCCTTTTTTGAAAGAAGCAAGTGTATCGGCTTAAATACCAGAATGTTATACATCTAAAATATGACACTTACGAAATCCTTAGTTGACAACTTCAATTAATACACTTAATTGAACAACTAAAACAGAGATTCACAGAGTCGTATTAAAATTGTGTTAGATACTTCCCTGGTGTGCAGTGGTGAAGTATGGAAACTTCCTACCATTGCATCACAACATCATAGTGCCTGTTTCTAGACTTTTCAACTTCCCCTTAAACCATGGTTAACTGTATTGCGATATTATAAAATGTTAAAACCTCTGCGTTTCTTCGATTCTTGAATTTCCACACTCAGGAGTATATGCACCTATAAATCAGCAGCATACAGTAGCTAATTTGCACAGGGGGATTGATTACAAAATGGTGTGAATGATTTGTTTTCATGGTGGTATTTACTACACATACATGCATATACAGTATTTACCAGCATCATTAAACAGAAAGTGAACATTTTTGTCATTGACAGAGTGCTTCTTATTGTGGCAAATTTTGGGGTAATGAAACTCTGTGCTTGGGAACTTCAATTGCATCAACACATCTTATAAAAAGTCGGTAACCAAATTAATTTAAAGCAGTTTTATTAAGCTCAGCTTTGGGTGTTTTTTCAGACACTACAATTTAAAAATAGAAAATGACATACATTGCAAGGGACTGGAATATTTCATACACCAGTAATAACCTGCATATAAACATAAAACACCCATGGGTGTTTCTGAGTGCAGAATTGTATTTTTGTAATTGTGGCAGTATGGCTACAGTACGTGTATACATAAAAAACTGTTACAATACTTATTTTACCATTGATTTCTATTATATACAGTATAGGAATTGTATACAGCAACAGAGCAGCAGCACAATAATTAGGACCACAGGGGTCCTAATCAAAACAGATCTGTGCTGACACAGATCTTGGCTACTGAACTCCTTACAGTTTGGTCTTTAAACACTGCACACAGTCAAAGACCCACCATATTTAAAACATTCCTGCCAAATTTCCCAACATTCCAAAGTACATTTAAAAAGTAAATATAAAGAAATCCCTTTAAACTCTGCACTAACACACATTACAAGCCACTAATATCTTTTTCATTTCTTTTTCTTTATATTGATTTTTTTAACTCATAACTCATGTAAATACTTCACTTACAGAATATAAACCATAAAATGCAAGACAATGTGTTTTCTACACATTTGTTGTTTGTGGAATATCTATTTGTACTTACGTGTGCTGAAGCTCTGCTCCAAAATGATCTGACAGGATTTTGTTCACATGTATTCCAGTTTGGACAACCAGAAGTGTATGTATCTACAACACATTCGAATTTTAAAAAGTAACTGTAAGCATCTTCAAAACAGGCTGACTATTAGGAAACGCTACAGGAAAACAATGTGGTCATAATATTATGGATGGTGGAGGATAGTTGTTGAAATAAGATAATGCATAAGAATTATTTCTATCTTCACTAATTTCATATGAAATATTATGAAATACAATCATGATATTAGTAGCAAATCCCGTTAGGTATCAACAGTTTAAAGAGTTGAGTGGAAACCTGTATTAATGTGCAAGCTGTGATAGAGCAAAAACAATGTAATAACACTCTAAAAAGGATGAAGAAGAATCTACTGCTGAAATTTTGTTTCTTTTTTTATGTTTCAACATGGAATTAATCCCTGATTGCTTTTTTGCTTCTATAAAATGAATGGAAGCTGTAAAGATGAATGTATATGAATTTTTGTTTTCATAGCAATCGCTGATGTCTGATTGTCATTTGTAGGTCAAATCAAGTGTTGTTTACCCTTCAAGTTGAAAAGACTTGAAAGAAGAATCTACTAATAAAAATAAGTAGTTTGCCTCGAGCCAAGGACACTAATAACAGCCTTAGAAAAAATGCAGTATTGAACTAATGTGTAACAACATTAACTACACTACATGTACCTTTAAAATAGTGCACACCTGAAGAAGGTTCAACAGCCAAAATTTTGTTTCTCCTTTCTAATTTTCAGCATGAAATTAACCTTTACATTCTGCCAACACACACAGCTCCCCACACTATCACTGGTCCAATCAAAAAATTCTGCTGTACGTGTAAGATATTGGTTACATATACAGGTATACACTATATAAATGGATACCTGTTTCAAAAACGTGTAACAGGGAAGAAATGCCTTTTTTATTATAAAAGGCTGCTATGTTTCAATTTAAAATAACAATCAGAGAGAAGCAAAGACTCAATATATAACTGTTCTTACAGTAAATGATATCACACATTATTAATAATAATTGTTGTAATTAGAGCTAATAATGTACGGTAATTCATTACTACGTTTTCAGAAGCAGCAGGGTTCTCCACAAGTTGTGCTTAAATCAATTCAACAAAGAATTGTACTGTGCACAGTATACCTGCAAACATACAAACTTACAATCTAATCCATTTAAAACAATTTTTTTAAAATAATGTAGTAGTCAAACATCACTCTTTGGTTAAAGAGACATATCACTTTAGCATATTTTAATTGTATTTACCCCTGCCTGATAATTACCAAGTTTGGTTTTAATTAGCTAAAAATGTTCGTGAACAGAGACAATTTAAATCTATTTTTTCCGAATACAAGCATTTTGTATTTTTCAAGCAGTGTATCCTAAAATAAATTGTGTTGTACTGTTCTTTTGCTTCATTCTGCTTTTTTCAGAAAATAAAATATATATATAAGAATGATATACAAAATGAATCAAGTTCACAGGTACAATCAAGTTCTATAAAAGGATAGATGTATTGTAACATTAGCTGGTTACTTTCCAGCTGAGCTAATCACCAATGTATTAGAATTGCAACACATTTTGTTGAATACCCAAGATGTACAGGGAGTAACAGACCATAATCTCCATACAAAATTGATATTCCAGATGCTTTTGGAGTGTACATGTACTGTAAACATAAGATCTAGTGGAATTTAAAACTATGCCGAAAAACATAGTTAAGACAACTTCAGATTTTCTCAGGAGACTTTTTAAAGGTGTGACGGGAGACAGGAAAAAGTAGATATGACAGAAAGAGGACAGGATGTGGCAAACACAAGGTGAGGTAAGTATGAGGTAAGTATTAAAGAAACCGTGTTTCTTTAATCACACTGACGCTGCTCCCTGTTCTAACCCCTTCTATACAGTACCACTCACAACTTCACACCCCTCCAGGGATGTTCTACTTTGTTCAGTGATGAATAATCTTTAGACATTTCTTTTACAGTGAACACTGTGTAGACGTTAACAATTAACTAACTCCTAAAGGTCTGGGGGGAAATTTTTAATTAGTATTCCTACTGATCATAAGGCTCTTCACTTTGTAATTTTCCTACTACCCATTTCTTAATTTTGTCCATAACATCATACAATACTGTAAAACTGATTGCAGACAATATTTTGATTTAAATTATAACTTCGCTTTCAAGTTATACCATTGCCATCTTGACTGCCACACCAAGTCAGTCCATCCATAATAAACCCAAGTAAGGTGTCTTCAAGAGTCATAAAGCATTTTTTAGCTTGTGTGAACTTGTGAGCCATCTGCTTGGTTTTGCTCCAGAACACCATCTGGAAAACAAATACAGAAATTCCAAGAATGTCCCAATGGCCTGTGGTCACAGAAACCCACACATTTTCCATGTTCAAGATGGTCTTGAACACTGCAAGCATCTATTGTATACATTTAGATTAAATAACAAATAAAAACAAATTGTTTCCCTTCAAATTCTCACCACGTTTTAATACAATAACTTCAATATCCCTGCAAAGTCCCTGAAAATTAAAAGAAAAAAGTAAGTCTTTGATGTTTTATGAGCTTAGTAAACACAGCATTAGTCTTCTTCCTAATGAGATTTTTAAGAAGCAACAATTCAGACTTTCTGCCTAAACTGCCACCGTGAATGAACAGGTCCATTCAGAAATCTGTTTTTGTGTACTATAGAGTAATAACATTTCTTTTTGTAGAAAGGTTATTTAAGCATATAGTATATGTGATCTTTAAAAGGTAAATGAGAACACAGCTCAACAAAACAAAATCTATTTATAAAATTAATGTAATAACTTGTGGCCAAATATTAGAGCTTTCTCACATGAGCAAATCATTTACGGTGCTAGAAAGTTTGTAAACCCTTTAGAATTTTCTGAATTTCTGCGTAAATTTGACCTTAAATGTGATCAGATCATCATCTAAGTCATAAAAATAAATGAAGGAACACAATAAAAAGAATAACACACAAAAGGATGTACTTTTTCATTCATTTATTGATCACAATTATCCAAAATTAAATGTCTTTGTCAGAAAAAGTATATGAACCTCTAGGATTATCAGTTCAGTTAAGGGGATCATTTTAATCAGGAGTGTCAATCAATGGGATGACAATCAGGTGTGTGTTTGGGTGGCCCTACCCTATTTAAAAAACATAAACCTGAGTCTTCACTACACAGGTTTGTGAACGTATGCCATGTCTCGGTCAAAGGAGATTTCTTAGGACCTCAGAAAAGAGCTGTCGATGCTCGTCAGACTGGAAAAGGTTACAAAACGATTTCTAAAGACTTTGGGTCTTCACCAATCCACTGTCAGGCAGATAGTGTACAAATGGAGAAAATTCAACACCATTGTGACTCTCTCCAGGAGATCACTCCAAGAGCAAGGTGTAAAATATTCTGGGAGATCAAAAAGAACCCCAGGGTAACATCTAAGGATCTGCAGGACTCTCTTGCAATGTCAGTGTTCATGAGTCCAGCATCAGGCAAACACTGAACAAGAATAGTGTGCATGGGAGGATAGCAAGGAAGAAGCCACTACTCTCCAAGAAGAACATTGCTGCTCATTTAAAGTTTGCTAAAGACCACCTGGATGAGCCAGAAGACTACTGGAAGAATGTTCTGTGGACGAATGAATCGAAAATATAACTTTTTGTCTTAAATGAGAAAAACCAAACACTGCATTCCAACATAAAAACCTCATACCAACCGTGAAACACGGTGGTGGCAGTATCATGGTTTGGGGCTGTTTTTCCTCCCCCCAGTGCTGTGCAGCTCACTAATTTGTATGGGCGTCAGGAGCCGCCCATGAAGGGGGGTGCTGTCACGCCCTCTGCAGCCAGAGGGCGTTCCTACTCTGTCCTGTCCCTTGTTTCCTGTGCTTTGCTCTCCGGTGTCTCTCTCTCTGGGGCTATATATTTCCGGGTCACTTACTCTCATGCGCTCAGCATTGACGTTCGGATGTCCTGAGACCCGCCTAGCATCCAGGTCCCCCCACATCCACTGCCTGAGGGCATTGGTTCTATACGACTCCTGAACTGATGAGCCTGGGCTAACCCCCCGTTCCGCCACTATGCATATGGGTCCCTTCCGACATCCGTGACAGTTCTGTAAGGCCAAAATTCCTCCAAAACAATGTGCAGGACTGATCAACAGTTACCATAAACGTTTGGTTGAAGTCATTGCTGCTCAAGGGGGTCACACCGTTACTGAAAGCATAGGTTCACATACTTTTTCCAACAAAGACATTTAATGTTTGTTCATTTTGATCAATAAATAAATGAAAAAGTATATCCTTTTGTGTGTTATTTCTTTTATTGGGTTCTCTTTATCTATTTTTATCAGAGACAGACTGGTTCACCACACATCAGCTATCAGTGGGGAGGAGAACAGAGTAATAATAATAATTATTATAATTGCTTACACTTATATAGCGCTTTTCTGGACACTCTACTAAAAGCGCTATGCAGGTAATGGGGACTCCCTTCCACCACCACCAATGTGCAGCATCCACCTGGATGATGCGACGGCAGCCATAGTGCGCCAGAACTCCAATTCATACATGGGGATTCTTAGGAGGCCATGATTGGTAAGGGGCAATGGGACTTTTGGCCAGGACACTGGGGTTACACCCCTATTCTTTTCAAGAAACGCCCTGGGACTTTTAATGACCACAGAGAGTCAGGACCTCAGTTTTATGTCTCATCCGAAGGACGGCACCTGTTGACAGTATAGTGTGGTGTGTGGTGAGCGTTAGTGTCCCCATCACTATATTGGGGCATCAGGACCCACATGGACCGCAGGGTGAGCGCCCCCTGCAGGCCCCACTAACACCTCTTCCAGCAGCAACCTTAGTTTTTCCCAGGAGGTCTCCCATGCAGGTACTGACCAGGCTCACACCTGGTTAGCTTCAGTGGGTTGCCAGTTGTGAGTTGCAGAGTGAGCTGGCTTGTGAATGAATACATCACATTTAATCCAACAGAAATATTGTTCTCGTCTTTGACTTTGACAGTTTTGCCAACAAACTTGTTAACTCTGCATGCAGATCACACTGGAGCATTTCTACAATTAAATGTCTGCTGTACAACCAGTACTTATTTGTTCATACATTGCAAGTTTTGTATTTAATTCAGAATTCGTAGTTTTGCAATATCACCAATCATTTTGTAACCAAGATTTTATAACCCATCTGAGAAATTAAAGGATCTGTTGCAATTGATAAAAAAAACATTGTTTCTCCTTATGGCCAAAAAAGCAACTGCTAAGCTGTGGCTACTTCCCAGTCTCACTAAACTTGAATGGATTAGCACAGCTTTCGGTGGTATTGACTGGGTAACTGCACTAAGGCCCACAAGTGCGCCACCCCTCATCTAAACATGGGCCCACTTTTAACTTATACTATGACATATTGAATTAATTACTGTACGTTTAAGAAGAATTATTCTATTATCACTTCATCCATCCACCTATTTTGTAACCTTCATCCAAGTCAGGTATGCAGTGCAGCTAGAATTCATTCCATTTAGGCGAGCAACAGGTGCATGGCAGGTTACACTCTGTATAGGATGACAGTCCGTCACAGGAAAGATAGAAACAAGCACTTATTCACGCCAGGGCAAATCTTGGTGTGGTCAATTAACCTAGCAGCATGTTTTTGAACCTTGGTAAGAAACTAGAGCACCTGAAGGAAACACACATGAACATGGGAAGAACATACAAACTCCAAACAGACAGAACCCTAGGTCTGGAATTGAACCCAAGGCCCCAGCACTGCAAGTTACCACTGCTAACCACTGCACCACCCTCATCCTAGTGCTCTGAATTTAGCTCACTTGTATTTAGACCACTAACACTGAATGTCTCCTTCCCTAACTGGCACCTTCTAGTCATGGTCTTGTCATTTGCTTGAAGCATTGTTTTTTTAATACAATCTGGCTAAGGTCAGGCTTATATCTGGGATTGTTGTGTTAATGTAAAAATGTATTTAAAACTTCCTTATCAAACTTATTTAACTCACAAGACTAGCATTGTGCAACCATGCAAAATGTTGCAAATGTAGGAAAATGTATTGATTGTGGTATTTAAATATGCTAAGTAGAAAACACAATTTTATGGGAAAAATACAGGAAGAACAAAAACAAAGTGAGTGATAATTTTAAGAACGAGCCCAGGTCATCACCACAATACCTAAAGTCATACTACATTAACTGTGCCAAAGAAGTATGAAAGAGAGATACATCTGAGATGACAACCAGAATGACTAAAATAGAGATCTTTTTCAGGGACACAACTGACAAAGAGGACATTCACAAAGCCAATGTAAACTCAAGCTCAATGTTTGCTACCAACATTTGCGCAATTCTCGCGTGGAGATTGGGAAAGCAATGATGAAATGATGAGCAATTCACCACACCAGTGATCTCTGGCACTTACCTGGAGTCAGGTTACATTTACAGTATGGGCCCAACAGAAGAAATCTTACTGAAAGGTTAACAATTGGAAAGGTAAAGAGAAATACCACATCACAGGACTCTAGGACTATCCGGAGTGTAAAACAACTTTGTCTTAGAGGGGGAATTTCAAATGAATGAGAAAGCTACTTTATTTTATTATGGTGTTGCTAAGTTGTTATGTCAGGGGAGGTGGGGGAGAGTAACCACAAAAAAAAATTGTAATGGGCCCAGCAATCATCAAGTTCCACAACTGCGATTCATGGGTGAATGATTAGGTGTGTATAATAATTAATAATAATTGCTTACACTTATAGAGCACTTTTGTGGACACTCCACTCAAAACGCTTTTACAGGTAATGGGGACTCCCCTCCCACCACCAATGTGCAGTATCCACCTGGATGATGCGACGGCAGCCATAGTGCGCCAGAACGCTCACCACACATCAGCTATCAGTGGGGAGGAGAGCAGAGTAATGAAGCCAATTCATAGATGGGGATTATTAGGAGGCCATAATTGGTAAGGGCCAATGGGAAACGTGGCCAGGACACCAGGGTTACACCCCTATTCTTTTTGAGAAACACCCTGGGAATTTTAATGACCACAGAGAGTCAGTACCTTGGTTTTTACATCTCATCCGAAGGACAGCACCTGTTTACAGTATAGTGTGGTGTGTGGTGAGCGTTCTGGCGCACTATGGCTGCCGTCGCATCATCCAGGTGGATGCTGCACATTGGTGGTGGTGGAGGGGAGTCCCCATTACCTGTAAAGTGCTTTGAGTGGAGTGTCCAGAAAAGCGCTATATAAGTGTAAGCAATTATTATTATAAATTATAGTGTCCCCGTCACTATACTGGGGTATTAGGACCCACATGGACTGCAGGGTGAGGGCCCCCTGCTGGCCCCACTAACACCACTTCCAACAGCAACCTTAGATTTTCCCAGGAGGTCTCCCATCCAGGTACTGACCAGGCTCATACCTGATTAGCTTCAGAGGGCTGCCAGTTGTGAGATGCAGGGTGATATGGCTGCTGGCCATATCATGTTAATTGTATGTATGTAATACTTGTATGTTAATTGAGCACCTAAATACTTGACAACAGAAGACTGAAAGGTAAATACTGTACCTTAGAAACCACTTCAAGTTCTACATTAAGTGAACTGCTGAAAATGTTTCTACCGTACTTGTTAAGACTAAAGAGGTTTATTTTTTCAAATACTGAGAAGCGTATTAAATGATGACATTTTTTAACAAAATCAACTAAATGCATTCTTACCTCATTGCAGGGTACCTTTTGTTTTGCTGTGTTCATGAGACCATCATAAGCCTCTACTGAGATCTTACATGGGTCTTTGGCTACAAATGAACTCTGGAATGCATCCCAAACTTCATTGCAGTCAATACCCCTTAAAGAGAATAGGAGATATGCAACATAAGTGTTTCAATAAAATAAGTTAAAAATGATTTTCTTTACAAAAAACACATGTAACATAGGTTTTAGAGAACACATTTATACAAACTGTATATTAGTACTTTTTTTACTTACTACAAGCACTGTAATGTGTTAAACGTATTGTTGTGATTCAAATTAATGAACCATAGTACTCAAACAATAAATTTATTTTTCATAAAATGAGTTTTAAAACATAAATAATACTCTTCATTCATTACCACACAGAAAGGTATTTGTAAATCTAGGTAAATAAATTGTTACGTTTTTTTTCACCATCATATCGTAAAATAGGGATGTGTTTGTTTTAAAAAAAATTATACTGATTCGTCATAAGACATTAAACGGAAGAAGCATGAAATCAAACTAATAATAACATTTTGTAGGATCACTATTGAAGTTTAAGCTGTTTCCAAAATCTTAAAGGGCTAGACTGTATCTGTTCAGCAAAGTATAATTTGAATTTGAATCTTTATCCAGTACTTAAGTATTACACTACAAAACTGTCTTGGAAACGAAGAGGGATTTCCGAGCCCAGTTGTTTTATATGGATAATGGATAGACAGAACAATGCACGTGTGGAGTATCCTAAACAGGGCAGTAAAAGAGTCAAATAAATATGCCCCCTAACTAAACCAAGACGCCACAAACACAAATATTAAGAACAAAGCTAATAAGACATTAAAATCAGAATGAAGCTGGAACTAATTTAAAAAAAATGATCTATTAGTCATATATTTAAATTCAACGCGCTTCGAAATGTTAAGCATTCTTATGAACTTTGCATACAACACAGAATATACTGTATAAATAAATATATTTTTCATAAAGTGAAACTACTTACACTCTAACTTCGTCATGCGTTTCCAAATATTCTTTACATCTTGTAATAAAGACATATTTAAGGCTTCCTCCAGTTTCTGTAGTCCTAATTAACACGGCGAAACCAGCAATGGCCAGTGTTAAAAGAATTAATACACAGATTATTACTGTAACGCGTTTTGTGTTTAGGATAGCACAGCAACCCTGTCGTTCCATCGCCATACCCCTTTCAGCTGTTCCCATTCACAGCGTTGCAATCACAGACCTCTATGGGGGCAATGAAGTAAGCAAAGTAAAAATCTGGCTTATCTACCGTTTAAAACAAGGGGAACCTGATACGCCTATAAAAAAGTTGAATGTCAAAGATGAAAGAGAAAGTAGCGCCACAATCTGCTGACAGTCTTCGTTGCGAGAGGAATTCTTTACAGTGCATGGGGTTGCTTACTGCAATATTTTACACATTGGAATTTACTATCAAATTAGTACAGCTTTTCGCAGTTCATTGCCATAATTCCAAAATGAAAAAAAAAATACTTTTGTAATTCAGAACATGTTTTCGGCATTACAGAAATACTTGAAACTGCCTGAGTGGTTCTGAATATGCTTTAAATCTCATCTTGTTAGAAGGATCTTAAATTTGACATTAAATTTAACATTACCTCTCATTCTTCGTACAATACGTTCTTATTTTTGTATTAGTTATTTTATTATTTATTAATTAATCAGAACCCACTACAATGCGGGATACTAAAGCAAAAATGTAAAAAAAAAAAGCTGAATGTTATGCTACACAAAAACATTTTAAAATTAGGTCAAAGTAGAAGTTACATTGAGAATAAAGTCAGGCAGGCGGTTAAAACAATTAAAACTCGGTTTATCTAACAGACTTAATGTCTGTTCCTAGTGGTTGTGTTATGTTGATATTTTATCATCTGCGTTAAATTTTATTTCCATGTACATTATACATATACAATACACTATTTCCAACTTACACTTTTGATTTGTTTTCCTCTAAAATTGTGGGGTGAATTGCTTCAAACTGAAAGCAGCACAGGGGGGCATGATGGGGCAGTGGTTAGCATGGGTGCTTTGCAGTGCTGGGGCCCTGGATTACTGTCTGTGTGGAGTTTGTATGTTCTTCCTGTTTTTATGTGGGTTTTATCTGGTTGCTTTGGTTTCCTCATACAGTCTAACAGCATACTGGTAAATTAATTGACTTCTGGGAAAATTCCTTTTAGGGGGGATTCTGACTCGTGACATTCAGTCATACTGTAGTCCCACAGATGGTAACTTTGCACCACTTGTTCCCCAGTCAAGCATATACATCCAGTGAGTGTGTTGTAGTCTGTGTCTGTGTGTGCCCTGTGATGGACTGGTGTCCCACCCATGGTGTACCCTACCTTGCGTCTATTGCTTGCCAGGATGGGTTCCTGCTCCCCACAATCATGAACTGGAAGAGGCAGGTAGAAAATGACAAATTCCAAATACAAGGAATTGTATACGGCCAATTAAGTGATCTTATCAAAAATGGATGGATGAACTAAAAAAGTGATGAGTGATGAAAACAGTGTAACTAGTGATGATCCAATGGTTAGTACACAGCTCCAAACACAGGCCCATACTAAACTAGTAAGCTAGTGAAGGCATGAGAAAAGGAAAATATCTCTTTTGACGAGCAGAAATAACAGTCAGTAGTTCATGGTGAAAGGCAATCAAAAATATTTAGCATATTTCAGAATCCTCTTATACAGGCATATTTAAATAAATCTGAAATAGAGAAGAACATCCCTTGTATGGCATACTGTAAAACTTATTTGTAATCTTTAAATCTTCTTGCTTTCTTGTTTATTGCTTGACTATAACTCCCCATTTACTCTTAAAATAATTTACAGAATCAACTAGGAAGTAGACATAGTCTGGCCCAAAATGCTAGCACAAAAGGGCAATTTTTTTTTACTGTTCTGTATATACTATATACTGTATGAAAAACAAAGAAAAACACCCCAAACTCTATGATTTGAGCACATTTGAGTTTATAAAAGCTGTCTGGAGCAAGCTACTCATTGGAATGTCTCTGCCAGACATTTCTCCACCACTGGAAACATTATTGACACTGTAGATACTCAATTCATGCCACACCAAAAAAGATGCACCATGCTTTGAAAGCACAGAAACTACATTCACTAGCCAGAGACATCAAGTGGGCATGTCGTGTGGGTCAACACACCTGAAGAAGGCTCCGCAGCCAAAATGTTGTCTCTTTTCTCTTCCTTTCAGCCTGTTTTTTACCTGTTCCTTTGCAGCCTACACATGCTGATGCAGCTACTTACTTGAATTTATTGTGCTTTGTTTTGTTTTTTTTCAGAAAAATAAAGAGGTCAGATGATCATTAGATTACCACCAGTTGAACAAACTGACGTCGGATGACATACTGTATACCCACTCCTCAAGATTAAGGAATGCCTGGACACCTTGGGAGAAGTCACAGGATTTTCTGCTCTTGATATCCAGTACAGATACTGGTAAATGGACATCCATGCAGATGACTGGGCCAATACTACATTTGTCACCATGTATGAGTTAATATATACTGTATGCATGTTTTGCAGCTCCATTTAAGATCCATTTTGATCAAGGCTGAGGTTTAGAAAGAGACCTCTACACTCATCTCAACAGCTTCAGACTGCAGGTACACAATTGAACAATTCTATTGCTTTATTCTTCTGAACATTATTATTCTAAACTTTTTACATTTTTTAAACCTACAGTGGATATAAAAAGTCTACACACCATTATTGAAATTGCAGGGTTTTGTGATGTAAAACCAGAAATCAAGATAAATCGTGTCAGACAGTTTTCCCTCTTTAATGTGACCTTGCAACCAACAAAATTCAAGAGAAATACAAACAGATAATAATTAGGAAAAATAATGAAATGAAAAAACCTACAACACCCTTGTTGCATAAGTGTGCACCCCCCCCCCCCAACTAATATTTGTGGAAGCACCTTTTGCATTAATTACAGAAGTAAGTCTTCGTGAATAAGTCTCTGTCAACTTTGCACACCTGGACTTCGCAATTTTATCCCACTCTTTTAGCAATTTTAGCCCTTGGTAGGGAGACAGTGAGCCAAGGGCAGTCTTCATGATAGTTCAAACAGTCCTGAGAGAAAGGGCAAAACAAAACAAATCTGATGTCTCAAAATGAAACAGAATGAGTTACTTTTACTTGTAGACTCATAAATAATACAAAGTTATTTATTTTCCGATTCATCATGATACACTGTAATTATTTACTGTCTTTGTCTGAAAATTCCCCATATATTTGAAACAATATTAGTGAAGAGATGGTTGATTTGAAAACTTAAAATAACTGTAAGTTACAGCACATAACAATCATCATTTACCTGGTTAAATAATAATCATAGATATCATAATGTATCATAACATAACAGTTAGATGGAAACTAACATCATTATAACCAAAACAAATACAGTATATCTATGTTAGAATTAATACATTATTTTGATAAACAAATATTATTTCTATGTATCCTTTTAAAGCTGGGTGGGTTTGCAGATCCTGCATAATGGTATGCTTGGATTTTTAACACACTGTATGTGCATAAATGACCTGTTGAAACAAAAACAAAGTCAAAGGCTTTTTTATGCAAATTAAATATTTTGAAATATCTCATTTTATAATCAACTTAAAAGTAAAAGCCTGTGTTATGATGGTACACACTGTTAAACTCAACATTAAGATACTGTATATGTATATCACTATATATATACTATACAATCACAGACCAGTGGACCAAAAATCATTTCTATTACATGTAAGGTTATTGAAACCACAATTATAACTAATTAAAAGGATCATCTATGTTACAGTGGGATTAGGTAGTCAATATAGTGTTGGGAGTTCTTTGAACATGCAAAACATTTACATTATATTGCTTATTTAGATTTTAATAAGAATTTTCAGCTGATGTTCTTCATAGATTCTCAAATTGTAAAGGGTTAAATGCTGAAATGGTGGTGATAGAATTAGTGGAGTACACTGGAAGAACCTCTATTAGAACTTGATCTTGATCAGTGACCTTTATATTGGTGTGCAGTATGTAGTAAGACAATCAAGTTTGGAGATGATATGAAAATTGGAGGATTAGCAAACACTATAAAAGCAGCAAAAGAAAATCTAGAAGATTTAGAAACAAAATACATTTGGCAAATTACTTCTAATTTGCACAAGTGCAAGTGTCAGAACAATATCTGAAACTGAGCTCATAGCAGTTAGCTATGAACAAGGATAAGGTGTTTATTTAAAATGTGTGCGAGAAAAGAGAATTGTGAGGGAGAAGACTCTGAGAGGACCTGATTAATGTATTCAGTATCTTCAAAAGGACTGACAAAGTTAACCCAATAGGTGTCTATAAAGTTAAGAGCAAAGTAAGAACCAGAGAGCACAAGTGCACAAGTGGAAACTACAGGAAAGGGCAACTGTCTAACACTAAGGGTTGGGAGTCCAGAAGAAGCTACTCAGCCATGTTATTGTCTTCTTTCTACAAACTCCTATTATAGATCTTTGGTGACAGGCAGGCAAATGATCTAGATGAGTCAAATAGCTTCCTCTTGGTGATAACCTTTATTATATTCTTATATAAATCATTTTTTGTGTTTATCAGCCACAATTTTACTTTTGTCACCTCTGCTCAGCCAGTGCACTGGCATATAGTCAGGTTTCATCTTACATTAAATGAAACTGATTTAAAAATAATAACTTACATTTCATTTTCAGTACAAGTCCATTGAAACCCTCTGTTCTGTAAGATCTTTATTAAATCCAGAATAGAACCACTAGTACAGGGCTCTCTTGAAAAGAAAAAAATACATATGTCTACATACTGTATAGCATGCTGCCTATCAATGTCATATATAGTGCCTTTCAAACATATTCACTCCTTTCCAATCATTTTGCTTCTCTATTGTTTATTTACTAATGATGCATACATTTTTTAAAGTGAATACGTTAATCCACAATGGTGCAGTGGTTAGTGTTCCCAACTCACAGCAGGGGGGTCCTGGGTTCAAATCCAGACCTGGGGTGCTATCTGTGGAGAGTTTGTATGTTCTCCCCATGTTTGAGTGGATTTCCGTAGGGTGTTCTGGTTTCCCTTCATGGTCTAAAGACATACTGGTAGATTAATTGGCTTCTGGAAAAATTGGCTTTGGTGTTTGTGTCTGTCTGCATTTGATTGAGTGGTGTACCCTGCCATGTGCAGATAGGCTTGGGCTTGAACTTGAATTGGAAAAAGCAGTTAGAAAATAAATGGACGGGTGTTAAAAACTTGATTGCTTGAACTTTATTTTATGGGCAGTGAAACAAAATAAAAGTCAGGAAAAACTGCAAAGAACAATCCAAACCATAAAATAGGTTGATTGCATAACTTTCCACTTCTTTTGCTACCTAAATTAGTTCAGGGACACAAAATTACTTTGACAAGTCATACAATTAACTGACTATGTACAATATCAGTGGTTTGCCTGATTTCAGAATAAATACACCTGTGATGTGTCTCTGTTATCTTCCATGGTTTCAACCATGAAGACTAAGGGACTTTCAAAACAGCTGCAGGATGAAGGTGTAGAAAGGCAGAGGTCATGAGAAGGGTAGAAAAAGTCAAGACAATGAATATTCCTTTGGACATGGTGAACCCAATCATCACAAAGTGCAATACAGCACACCACACGGACACTGCATAGATCAAGCTGTCCCTACAAACTGAGTAACTGGGCAAGGAGAACTTTATTTGAGATGCTGTAATCAGTGACTTAGATAGGGGAAACTGTACATTAAAGTAACAGGATACCAGATACCAGGACTGGTCAACCATATCCTGGTATCTCTATACAAGCCTCTGGTACAAAGCCAACACAGAACATCAGCCCCTCATGACCATTCCTACTGTCAAGCATGGCCATGGCAGCAGTATGTTGTGGCTGCTTCTCATTAGGACTGGGGAGCTGGTTGAGACTGAGGGGACAATGGATGGATCAAATACATTGAACTTCTTTACATCACAAAAGTGTTCAGTACGAGCATTCATGTTTACAGTCACTTTAAAAATGTTTTTTTTTTCATTATTTGTAATCCAGGTAGGCAGGACATCATTGGAAAGGGGTGAATACTTCTGTAAGACATTTTTTTAAAATGAATATGCAGTAGTTCCAATGTGTATTTGTACAGCAGCCATGCAAACACCTACTGGAGCCAGTTTAACAATGACCTATACAAAAGTAACATAAATCAAATAGTTTCCTGATGATATCTAAAATCACATTAGAAACCAGAAACTGCTATATTTTATGATTCTGAAAATATACATACATTTTAGTATACTTTGAACAGATTGATTATATTTAACCATAAGCTTCAATCCACCATTGCATTACTGGTTTTTGGTTATACATTAAAAAGTTTTATACCATTAAAGGTTTTAATGGTAGCACAGTTTCCTTTTAGATATCATGGGAATGTATAAAAAGCTCTGCTGAAAGTGTTGCATGCTAGTACTTTACCCATTATACATACCTGAATGGTCCCTCCAAGTCGTCAATCACCTTAATGTTGACATGGTTGATTTTCCTTGGATCCAGGCTGTTGATCTCAACACTTCCAAACATACTTTAAACAACAAGAAATATAATCAACAACAAGAAACGTAATAAAATATTGTTACAAATGGGGGGTTACGAAACTGGTGAAAATCAGGAATTGACCGAGCGGTTTAGTCAATCAGTGAAATAATTATTCATACTATAGCCCCCGACTTGTAAGTGATTTTTATACCTGAGCAGCTGGTACAATTACAGCCACATGAATTCTTTTTTCTCTGCCACAGCTTTGTTGAGAGGAGTAATAATCCTGGCTAAAACAAATATTACAATAAACTACATTAAGACACAAAACATATAACACACCAAGTTACATTATATTGTTACAAATAGGGCTGGACAGATATTTTAAAACAATGACACAACAAACAACAAAACATTGTTATATTGTTACATTATAAACAATATTTATAGACTAGTTGTTCAGAAGCCTGAAATTCTGGTCACCCAGAAAACCCCAGCACTAAACTCTTAATTTGCCTAGAGAGGCCACGCAAGAGAAGAGCTGCCTTCTAACTAAATAAAAAGTAACCTGCAGTTAAATCTCTCTCTCTCTGCACCCTGGATGCCACAAAATAAATGGGAGCCTATATCCCTGTCCGTAAAATTCACCCTAATCAGGAAAGACATGTCTAATTTCTAAGGTACCAGGAAACCCAAGTTCCCTAAAACCACAGAGTAGCAGGCTCTCTCTAACAAGGTTTAAATACTTAGTTCCAGTCAGGTATTGTTTGGATGATCATGAAGTAGGAGCTCTCGCCTAGAGCACGCTTCAAGCCCCAACTCCTCCGGACTCCTCTCTCTTCTCCTCGCTTCTCCTTGCTTCTTCCTCCTGTCTCTCCTCCTTTTTCTCTCTTTCTCCTTAAGGTAAACTTACTGTATACTGTGTCTTTCTGCCCTGCTCCTCTGAAACCATTAATCCACAACTGGCCTAGGCATACCAAGATAAACTTTACTATTGTTTCTGCTCACTCAGGAGACCCCCAGAACTCAGCAAACATACTCTCTGCTTTGAAGCTAGAAGTGTTTAACTCTTCCCAGTGTCACAGAGACACTTCTCAGTCACCTAAAGTTGTAACAATATGAAGTACTCATTGTGTATATGTAATTATTTTAAAGGAAATAAAAGTACCTAAACCATCAGTCAGATTAAATGAATTCAGCAGGGGCTCAACAGGTATTGTTAAAAGTAATAATGTACAAAAATGGAATAATTACATGTAAATAACTCCATACTGAAATGTTATATTATATGCCCCTTCTGAACATCACATTTCTTTGGTTCCACCTTGTTGGTGGAACCTCTTCTCATTCTTTTAAAAGTAATGTTAACATGAAGCAATTAGGTTACCTTTTGTGCAATATATGCCAGGGACCTGTGCAATACATTTATATCTATATTTATATCTATATCTATATTTACATCTATATTTATATTAATATCTGTGATACGATTTTTCTGTGTTCTGTTCTGTTCTAGTTTGTTCTTTGTGTGTCCGGACTGTGAGTACCTCTTTTAGTACCCCTCACTGTACTGATTGTATTGTATGTATTGTATTATTATTTTTATTATTATTATTATTATTGTATAATTTGTTACACTGTGGCTGTGTTGTCTGTGTTAAGCTGCTGTTGCACTGCAATTTCCCTCACGGGATCAAAAAAGTATATATCTATCTATCTAATACTGATATTTCCTTTGGTTCTCTAATTTTACTGGTCTATAGTAATAAAATAATCGCTTAGAGTTACAAATTTGAAATACAACAGGGAGCCAGCTGAGGGATTGGAATAAATGTGTATTGTAACATGAAAAAAGATGAGCTGCAGAAATCTGCATGAGTTGAAACAGGCAGATAGCGTTGGCAGGAAAGACAACAAAGAGGGAATTACAATAGCAAAAGAATACTATAGAAGACGTGTGATTAAAGTAGAAGTGGAAGGTGCTTCTCTTATTGGTTATTTGTAGAGAAGGAGAATATATTGTGTCAAGAATATAGATACTGAGAGAGTCAAGAGGAAAAGAGAATTAAATTCAAAGCAGTAGGTATTGCAGTTAATGCATGTGCAGTATTTTAATAGATTTATATAAATTATTAATGGTTATAAAGGAGTGAATGTTTAAATGGTCATTAAAGGAGTACTCATACCCCTTTATGTATGATACTTATATAGGCAAATTAGAAAACACCATGAAAGCTGCAAAAAGATGATAAAATATTAAGATAAATTTCAAAACACTTAAATTTTGTTTAGGTTTTGTTATTTTTGACAAAATAATTTTAAGTAGACAATTACAAAGTGTCACATACAGACAGCAAGGTCTTAAACTGCTAGTATAAGGTGGGACAGAATGCGCTTGTAGAAGCTACCTACGAAAAAGACTCAGCAATAAACTGTGGAAACTATCAGAAAGCACAAATAAAATTGAGAACAAGAGGCACATTTTCACAAAGTGTTGTGGGTGTCTAGAAAAGGGGGCATCTGGGGGCATGTTTTCAAACTGTTACACTGGCTTCTTTAACTTCTTTCAGAAAAAGCTGGATGAGATCCTTGGAGCAACTACTAGCTTCCTCTTACTTGCAAGGGCTGGATACCCACAGTTAAAACCTGGCCTTATTTAAACAAGAGCTGTTCAAACAACAAGGGTGGCACTAATTAATTTCTTGAGGATAAAGTACAGTAGGTCTAGCAAGATTACAGTATTATGGTATGTACAATATTACTGTATGGACTAATATTGAAAAACCCAAAGTCAAAATATATGTACAATATGATGATGGAGTCTGCTAGCAAGATCTGCATGTTACTCTGTACCCATATAGTGGTAGGAGCTGTGAACTCCTGCTAAATTCACATGTTAAACTCTAACCTTCATGCTTGCTTAAGCACAGATGCTTCTCCCTCCCTGTACTCAACTCCCATCTTTTGTACTAAACTCCTGATAAGGAAGGAATGTTTTAAGTGTCTGAGTCTGCTAGATCCACCTACTTCTCTCACATCATTGAAAATCACCAAAACAACCCCAGACATCTTTTCTCCACCATCAACAGATTGCTCAAGCCAAACTGCCCCACCACATTACCTGCCTCTTCTAAACTTTGCAACACATTCTTAGATTTCTTTAATTCTAAGATTGACAACATCCGGCATCACATTCTCTCCACTACGCATATCATTTCCATACCTCCTCCCTCCTCATCCAACTTCTCTGGTTCCCTTCTCTCCAGCTTCTCTCTTCTTGACTCAGCATCCCTCAATAAACTAGTTACACGCATGAAACCCACCACATCTATTTTAGATCCCATTCCCACCACTTCATTTCAGTCCTGTTTCTCTTCTCTCTGTCCCATTGTCCTCAATATTATACATGAATCCATGAGCACTGGCATTGTACCAGCAGTCCTCAAAACTGCTGCCATTACCCCCATGCCAAAAAAGCCTAACATGGCTCTCGACAATCTTAACAATTTTCGCCCCATCTCCAATTTACCCTTTCTTGCTAAGATTCTAGAACATGCTGTCGTATCAAACAACCTTTTCGAACCCCTCCAATCCGGCTTCTGTCTTTCTATACTCATCCTTCTTGATCCTTCTCAGTGCTGCGTTTGACACTGTTGACCATAACATCTTACTTTCTCATCTTGAGACTGTGTTTGGACTTTTTGACACTGCTCTCAAATGGTTCAAATCTTACCTCACTGATTGCTGTCACTTTGTCTCTCTTAATAGGTACAGGTCTGAAATTGGTCTTGTTAAGTCTGGTGTTCCTCAGAGTTCAATACTGGGCACCTTACTCTTCAGCATTTACATGTTTCCACTTGGTCAGCTTTTAAGATCACATGGCCTCAACTTTCATTTTTACACTGACGATACTCAAATATACACCCATACCAAACCTGACACTGATGTGGCTGTCTCTATTCTAATTGCATCGCTGACATAAAAATTTGGATGACTCAAAATTTCCTTCATCTTAACTGCGACAAGACTGAAGTCATGCTTATTGGCACCCCCCATCAACTTTGTAAAGCCAGTCCTGTAACCCCATCTGTAGATGGTTCTGTACTTGAGCTTCAATCAAAATTGAAAAACCTTGGGGATATACTCGATTCTGGCATGCTTTCAAAACATCTTTTTTTCGCCTCAGAAATATCGCTAGACTATCACTAACTGTGGCTGAAAAGCTGATCAACACATTTGTGTTCTCTCGAATTGACTACTGTAATGCTCTACTCACTGGGGTATCTATATCTACTTTGAACAAACTGCAGTATGTCCAAAATTCAGCAGCCAGAATCCTGACCAGGTCTAGTGCAAGTGTTCACATTACTCCTATCCTGGAGTCCTTGCACTGGCTTCTGGTCAAATTCCATGTAGACTTTAAAATCCTCATGCTCACTTATAAGGCTCTGCATGGCTTGGCACCCCAGTACCTGTCTGAACTATTATCGCCCTACTCTCCACCTATACAATAAACTTGGCTTGAAGAACAGATACTTCAGGATCTAATCTCTCGGTTTGTACAATGAGAAGATTCTTTCACTGGACAATGTATAAGGTCATTTCTTTTTTACCTTTCTTTATTGAAGGCCTTTTCTATGGATCCATTCAGCATCACAGTGATGTTGCCACATGATGAATAAGCAAACTAATTAACAAGGATTAAACATGAGCTTTAGTTTCTAATAAAAGGGTTTTTCAAACTAAAATTCAATAAATCTTCACATATTTAGTCTTTATAAGCTGCTCCATTGAAATAGGACAAAGTTGTTATTGTTTAATATTACTACTACTTTCATATAGTGTTTTTTTATAAAATGTTTGAAGGATTTATTAACAAATCCCAGTTTGTAACTTTGATAGCATAAAAATAACAATGGTTTGCAGATTTTTAAGGAATAAAAGCACTTACACCTTATTTCCTTGAAGTATGGGTTTGTGCCAGAGGTTCTTTTGCAAAGAAATTAGCGTATATTCAAAGATCACAGTTTTGAACAGGAGCATAAATATTCATAAGGTTGACTTATGAATAAAAGTATGTTCTGACTGTCTTTCTGTTTATGAATGGTATGTAAGTCAACAATTTTCCTTCGTACAGTGGGAGTTAAAAGTGATCTCACGCTTTTGCTGTGAGACATTTGGGAGCTTAAAAGATTGATTCAAGAGCAAATAAATACAGCATTGGAGCCAAGGAAAAAAGTAGCTGTTTCTAAGGAAAGAAGTGAAGTGCTGCATGAGAACAATGTCTCTTTACATAATTGCCAAGAACACAGTCTGCAGAACTTTTCTTTCTGCTTACGGTGCCAGTTGAATTTTCATTACACAACATTATTTCACGCACAACTATTCTTTTCCTTGTGAAATACTAATACCGTAGTTTGCCATAGTCATTTTACATGCTATTCATGCTGTTGGAACAAAAAAAAAACACTTTTGCTACTCATGTTTCAGTGGGCAGTTGGCCTAGCAAATGGTCAAATGCTGTATTTTAAACAGATTTACTCTTTCTTATAAGAAGGTAAGAAAGAAGCCTTTGAAAGATATTCAATTCCATCTAATATTTGAGGAAAACAATCATGTACAAACTAGCAATAATTAATCAATAGTCAGTTGGTTTTGGCTTGTCAACTTACAATGAATTGGCAAAGCTTTCTTGTTTTTGAAACACATGCAGTATAAACACCTGCTGAAAGTCAGCAAAGCTGAGAAACATGTGACTGTTGAATTATTTATCTGTTTTAGTACTTGTGAACAGCAGTATTGTGGCAAATTTATGCTAAATAGATTCTGTTTATCTAGATTTAGATGTGTATCTAATATATATTATGCATTAATCTAATTCTATACAAACTTACATATTCGGAGGCTTTTTTCCATAATGAAGACACGGGGTGGTGTTCACAGGTTGACCACTCTGGACAGGAGTTAAAGTCAAACCCTGAAAATAGATTTGATCAATCGTTTAAATAGATAGTGTTATCCATTTAAGAAATTACACTATGACAACAATTCAGACAGTATCTAAACATAATACAGTGTACCAGGTTCTTAACTATATGCTTATTCTGTAGAGCTATGAAACCTGCTATGTTCACTCTTTTTTATAATCCATTACATCTAAAACATGTTGTGTTATTTTTTATTCATATATTGTATGTTATGTGTAAACTAACTAACACGTTAGATAAGACCTTATTATAAAGCGTTGATTATAAATACATGAAAGTTGTATCTGCTAATACTGTTATCTTTGAACTTTTAAAAATATCATTATCTTGGATAACTGAAACATACCTGTGTGGTTTGTTTGTCCACACCAAGTCAAGTCATTAAACATGTAACCAATGAGGGTGTCTTCCAAAGTTATAAAAAGGTGAGTAACAGCAGAGAGGCTGTGAACAAACTCATGAGTCTGGCTCCAGAACAGCAGCTCCATTAAAAAAGACAAGATGACAATAACTGTCAAAAGACATATCTAACATGGCTCTTTCTTAACTTAAAAGATTAAGGACATTTATTTTATTAGTAATTCAATTACTAAGAAAATAGAAGTGATGCTGACATTAGAAATGATATTTAAAAAGTCACTTGGAAGAATATTTTTAACATCGCTGAAAGTGTTAATTATGATCTAGTGATGCAATGTTCATGCAATGACATAAGGAAAAGAAAACAGAAACGTAGAAGGACAAAGGACACTTTATTTCAAAACAAGTAATGTGTACCAAACTAGTTTCAAACTTCCTGACTGAAAAGAAGTCCCATAGGATCATTCACAGTAACAATGCTCTGCTGTGTAGCCAAACTCCTCATTTTTATTAGCCTCTAACTTTTGCTGTCAGATGATATGTGGAGATTTAACGCTCAGATTTTATGCTCAGTACTACAGACTAAACATTTAACACAAGTGTAACAAACTATGTTGTCTTTGCCAAATTGTGCGCTGCAAATTATTTAAGAGTAAGAACTGTGTTAATGATTTTTTTATTCTGAATTTGAAAAAGCTAAAACAAAAAGATACTTTGGTTACTGCTTTGCTTTGCACATGGGAGACAAAACCTTATAGCTTAGTGTGTCTGTAGAAAGATCCAGGCTATGTGAAAGTGCATTTAAAACTGATGGGAAAAAATGAAATAATTAGCAACTAACTACCAAACAAGCCTCCTCTTTACATTCTTACAACTACAAACTTTTTTGTATGAATTTAGTGTAAGAAAAAAAAGAGCACCGTTTTGCGCTTAGTTTACAAAAATTAGAGACAATGTTTATTGCTTCTTTTCTTTCATAATATAATTAATTTAATTCACAGTTCTCAGTCCCTTAAATCAGAAATTATTAAAATCGGACATATTTCATTGCACAAAATAGCTCAGAGTTTATACAAGTTTTTTTTTAACATTATTATGTCCTAGTTCTATCCCAGTATGTACTCTAACAACCCATTATATTAGAACTTACCTTCAAAATGTATTATATGATTTAATTTCTTAATCAATTTCAGAGAAAAAAATGTGTGCACATTCATACTGTGGAGAACTTTTAATCTTCTTTTTTAGTAACAACTCAGAAAAAATGCCTACTCTTTTTTCTAGACAATCACTTTTAGATTACACAATGAGGTTGTTACACATACCTTATTGCAGGGCAAAGTCTGCTTTGCTGTTTGGAACAATTTGTCATAGTCCTCTACGTGGACATTGCAAGGACCTTTATTTAGAACAGCATCCTGAAAATCTCTCCATATTTCTTCACAGTTGTACCTATTTGTAAATAACACACAAAATAGCATCTAGAGTTTCATACTGTACAATTAGAATAAAGGTTTATCTCTCTCAATATGCTGTATATGGTATGTGCTTAAGCATTATAAGCCAGTTTCACAGGACTCACGCATGAATGCCTAGCACAATACATACCTTTGGTGTGAGTCATGGGGGGCCTTACCTTCTACAGTATGTAATCAGGAGATTAATTGTGGAAACATTTTAAAGGCAAAGAAAATGTAGGGATGCATAATGAAACAAGATCACTTTATTGGCCATATACAATTGCTTGTATTTGGATTTTGTCTTTTTCACATACCCCAACTTGCTCTCCATTTGACACACACAGGGAGAGAAGCTTGGGGTGAGAGTGCATTTATACAACACCCCTGTAGTGGTTCAGGCTCAGGGGCCCAATGAAGTAGGATTCCCCTGCCAGCCATGGGTTACGAACCAGCAACCTTCTAGCCACAGCCACAGAGCCTTAGCCACAGAACCACTGCTCCGCCCTAGCCACAGTAAGGCCTTGTTTGGAATATTGTATTCAAGTTTGGTCATCACATTACAGAACAGATATTGCTGCCCTTGATTCAGTTCTGAAAAGAGTAACCAGACATACTCTAGGGCTTAAAGGAATGTCCTATACTGACAGGCTGGAGGAACTGAACCTTTTCAGTCTTAAATAAAGACAACTACGAGAGGATATGAGATAAATATAAAACCTCAAAGAAACGGACAAAAACGAGGGCAGTCCAGGGCATTTCTTCAGAATGAACAGTGAAACATGAACCAGAGGACACAAGTGAACTGAATTTAAAACTAAAAACAGGAGACATTGGAAATGGAACAATTTTTTTGAAGTGTGGCATTATGTGGGGGCATACCCAGTGTGGAGGCGGAGCCCTGGTAGAAGGGCGGAGCCTCGCCTTTGTAGTCCCAGCTGTCTCGGCTTCTGGATGATGAGCCACAGCTGGGCAGGTCCTATAAAGGCACACTGGACACCCCTGGCAGGGGGAGTTTTTACTCTGACAGTCCCAGAGGGGATTGCACCCATGTAAGGCGTTCTTTTTCCCCTGTCCTATCACATGTTTTCACTGGGGCAGGCACACATTTTTCACGCACTGAGTTTTTGTTTTGTTTTTGCCATACGTGCCCTGCTCTACCAGACTGGATCCCACTAAATAGGATAAGTCCAGTCTGGTCACCGCTGTACTAGTGGTTCTTTTTTTTCCCAGGCTGGACCCCGTTAAATAGGATTAGCTCAGCTTGGAGGTCGCGAGGCACAGTAGTACACCCCTTTTTGTGTTATGTTTGGTCCCTGCTAACCTCACACCGGTGCTTCTGTCCCCTCATCCAGGGCTTTGACTTTTTACTGGTGCACGCCGCAGCGCCTCCCACTCCCCACTGTCGCAGAAGCTAATAACTTGGCTCCTTTCAAGACACGGCTTCATGAGAACCTTGGATCAATTAGTTAATAACTACCAAAAGAAGTCAAATGGGATGAGTGACCTTCTCTCTTTTATGACCTTCATTAGGTTCTTACTTACTCGTTGCTTTCAGAAATGGATCAACCACACATTTTTGCTTTGCAAATGGAAATATTCCTCTGTTTTATTTAGAAAGTATTGGCCATTATTATAAGTTGCTCTTTTAATTAAGCATAGAATTGTTTTTTTTTTATATTACTGACTGGATCTACTGTATGTGGAGTAAGAAAGTAGTCTAATATTTTCAGTACATTTTCAGTGCCATTTCTTCATGAAAGGAGACCTCTTTAGCTTTATTTTTATATGAACTAAACTATCAGTGTTTACAGTATTTTTTTAAAAAACACAGTTTAAAAATACAGTTTTGAGCTTTCTCATTATTTATTTTTTTAGTTTGAACTAACAACTCAATTCCAAAATTAAATCATCAACCAGGATCAGGAGTTATGAATGAGGTGTTTCTTATTTTTGTAACGGCAACTTCTTGGTGTCTGTCTTGCAAAGGCGTGGAAAATCATTTCTGTGGTAAATGCCTTGCACATGTGAACCACTAATTCTAAGAAAAGATACAGTATGGTCTCAGGCTCTTATTCTGTTTAGTTTTCTTGTTTTTATTTATACTGAAGCTAATCTGATTATATTAACAACAGTGTCCTACTTGAATTACTTGAATTTATTTGTGTTTCTTACTACTGAATCGCTTTACCTAGAACTTGGATGAACAATTTTCACATAACTGTAACATCTTCCAATAATTATTTCTTTTATGTTCTGGGTTGTCCCCTTGTCAGTTCTAGACTTCCCAGAAAAGAGAAACAGCAGAATCACAACACCTACAAAAAAACAAAACAAATTCAGAATGTAAACACAAACAATAAAATGGTACTGTAACAGAGATAGCCTTAAGCCAAAATATTACAGCTTTAACTATGAATTATTCGAACATACTGTATAACTAGCAAATGATGCATATAAAGTAGTTAACAAATGTACCATTATGAATGCACAATGAAAAAAAACATTTTGTTATAAATTATTTTAAAGATAAAAAAGTTCAAACTTACCAATGAAAGGTTTTGACATTTTTTAATGTTATGGCAACTATCAGAAAACCGCATGTATAGTCTAGTATTGAAATGTACTGTAGATATTTTCCCCAGCAGCTTATTTAGCAACATTCAGAGCTGATTTCCTTGAGTCCTGCTGCCACCATCCGACCTTCCCAAAGGCAATAAGAAGATTAGATCAGCTGTACCTGAAATTGTTCAGGGCATCTAGCTCCTATCTGACACATAAGTCAAAAAGGAAGTGAGATTAAACAACTGCTCTGCAATTCTTCAGTGTCAGCCAGTCTCAATAAAAAACAATGGCAAATATAGATATTCATAGACATTCCATAGTTTTAATATCTGACTTTGAAACAAATTAAAGCTGTGCAGAGTGAGAGGGTGTGAAGCAGATTTCTAAGTTAACAGGGGAGAAGAAATGACAAGGACAGATTGAGACAATTATGGAAAGAGGAGCTCAGCAGAAAAGGAAACATATGATGGGGAGGAAAAAGGGAAATGGGATGAGGAAGAAGGGACCAAGGAGTTGCTTTTTAGCAGCACTTACCCCACAGTAACACATGTCAGGAAAAACCAATATAAACAATACGGTTAAGATATTTACAAGAATAAAATGCATCATTCTTAGAGAAAACAATTGAAAGTGAAGAAAGTACAAACTTAGAAGCACAAGCATTTTGTGCACCATGGAAAAACAGTTTTACAACTGTATTTTGTATTTGCTGTTTATGTTCTGTATTTGGTGATGTTTTAGGCCTCTAAACACAGATTTCACCATTCAAGTCCAAGCAAGAATTCCAAATTCCCTGTTCTCAGGACCCTCACAGGTCCTGGTTTTATTCCTGCCCAGCTATAAATTATTTACTTGAATCTTTAATTGAAAGTATAACTCTCCTTATATAACTTATATAAGTATAACTGGAGACTTAAATATTAAAGTACTTACAAATATTTAATTGTTGAAAAGGAAAAGGAAAAGGTTTACAAGCTCAAAACAATCAAAGAACATACTGTAAATTAAGCATATTATTTATTAGATCTATAGTGGATTTGATTCCATTAACCAGGGCTTGGATGGAACAAGGGTTTTCAAGGACCAGAACTGGGAATCCCCTGCTTTCTTTTTAAACTCAACCAATCTAATGTTAAAATTTTTAAATTTCTACGTAGTTGTAAGATCTCATTTAAAATAATATATACAACTTTGGTAACTACATTTCAAGAAATTTATTTTAACTATGGAAATCCAATGTAGACTGACCTGGAATTTCAATTCAAGGCATATTGAAATGGTCATATTCTACACTGGCAGGCTAAAAGAAAAAGAAATGTGCAAAATGAGAGCCCACTGTTTCCCTAATGGTGGGAAGTGCCATGTACATTACCATATGGTATACTTCATCTTACTAACCCAGAGTCAATGCGTAAGTGCTGAACTTCCTCACTGGCTCACCTTGGTGCCAACATTTGAAAAAACCTAACCAAAAGGTTAGGTCTCACCATGAGACTAGACTACTGTATATAATACAGCTAGTCTGATCTCATCGCGATCTTTTCCTGGATCCTCTACCTGTTTATAGTTAAATCTAATGGAAACTAACTGCATTATACAGTATACTTCTATTGCAACCACATGTGAATGTTTGTACTTATTTCCTTCCTAGAGCAGGGGTCTCCAATTTAGCCCCAGTACAGTTAGTCTTATAGGTTCACTGTTTACACCTGTCATTAATCTGTTCAATGAGAAAACTAGTCTTTGATTGCTGAAGAGTACTTAGATTTTAGTCGTACATAATCTCTGAAATATTTATTTTTAAAAGACACCATGTTCCATGTTTTTGCTGTGAAATTGCGACCTACAAGACTTGCTAGATTGGGGATTTCCAGCTGACTTCCCAGAGACAGCTGCTCCATTACAACATGTCATGTTAGAACTCATGAAATTGGCCGAACAGGCTAAATATTCCCATTACTGAAAATGGTGTGCATTTAAAGTCAGAACTCAAAATTATATTTACATATGTACTGTATCTGGCTTTGGATAAAACATTTTAAATAAACATCTACACATTCACTCCAGCAGGGAATCCCTGCTTTTCAAATGACCACACATCTACAGTATGTACCATTTATATATAAAATGTTTCAGTTTTGCCAATATATTCTTAACTAAGTTTCAATTATGATTTTCCCTATGCTTACTGAAATGTACAGAAACCCTTTCTAACTCATAATAACAGAAAACAGATCATTTTACATACAGTGAGCTTAAATACTGACTTGTAAAAAAGGGTAGAACATGGTTCAGTTATATATTTTATCATGAATTCAATTCCAAACCCTATCTTAACAAACATGATAAGATAACCTTGAAAAAAAGGCTATGTTCCTGAGAAATTGTTAGCCACTGGCTAAATCCTGATGAGTTTTTCATGGTAAACAATGAAAGTTTGTTAAAATAAACTATGCATCTGAATAAACTTTTCATTTAGCTGCATTCGAGTGACAGACTTAAATTAAACTACAGAGTCGAAAGTCTGAAATATAAAAACATTTGTTACCTTGTGATACAATAATAACTATTATTAAATGAGCACCAATTTAGACAAAAAAAGCTGTTTTGATCTTTTACAGCAGAACAGATTAATAAACTCAGACAGATAAACTGATGTGCTAACCACTCGACTTACCATGTCACAAAATGCTGTACTGAGACTTGAAAAAAGCAAAACCATTCAACAAAAAGTGAAATGTTTGACATGTTTTTCAAAACAAAAGTCTTCAGATATTGCCTTCACCTGCTGAACAGTAGAGTTTAAGTACATGCAGAACTGTCCCGAATTCAAGTGAAGCAAAAGCTTTTTTAGACTACTTGTATGTAGCAGGCTAATGATCTTGATGTGACAGCATTCCCTAGTACAAGAGGTATACTATGAAAGCTTAATTTGTTGCTAAATGTTCCCTGGGAGGTTACAGTCTTTCTCTAAGGTCGGGAGCAAAAATAAAATTAAAGTTAATTAGGTAACAGGGGACTACAGTTTTCCACTGAATGGGATGCCTTATAGGATTATGCAGACTTCCAGTTTACAGCAATGTTTTTTACAAGATGGGGAATGGTGTTGCTGCATTTCACACCTACTGTACTTTCTTCTTCTAAGGCCCATTGAAATTCAGCAGAAAACGTATTCCCCACCCCTCTTCATGTTTGCTATAAGATTTCAATAGAAGTTCCTTCAAAAGGTTTAGGCCTTGTTTTTTCTGACATGTTCTGAGCTGCAAAACAATTGTATGGTTTGTGATCTGTCACTTGGCAGAGACTGAACTCTTTTTTCTATGGCAACAGTACTTCTGTCTTGGGACCTGATCAAGTTACAGACAAGGAGCATACTGTATTACAAACCTTGCTTCGAAAGGTTGACCTATATAGTACACATACTTGCTCAGATGTCCATATACATATACGTGTACATATACATAGACATACTGTATACATATACATATGCATGTACATTATTTTAAATTCCAGAGCTTTCAAATGTCATGTCTTAGTTTCTCAAATGTCATTTTTAGTGTTTTACGATACTCCTGACTCCAATCTCCTCACTCCTGCAGGAGTTACAGTGACGAGAGAGAAAAGACCCTGCTTTTGAAGCTTTTAAAGCTGTATTAGAAGAGGAAATTGGAAACTAGGTTGATGGTTGGAGGCAAGGAAGTCTGGTTGTCATTGGCCACATGTGCCATGAAAAATTAATTCCATTTGTGGGAAGAAATAATTCGTATTACTGTTATCTTATACGAATGTCACAGGAGGTTCCGAATCAGCTTACTCAGAATTAAACAAAAGAAGTCTGAGACAGCGTTCAGAGGGGAACGAGCCAGTCAGGATTATTATAAAGGATATATTTTACAGTAACCCTCATATTGACCCTAGAAATCGATAAGTGGTTGCATGGGACAAATGTAATAATCTCGTGTTAGAGCTATGTTTTCCACCAAAGACAAGAAGGTTTGCAGCACCTGGGGAAACTGAAAGCTCATATGGTGAATAGGAAAAAGGCTCTGTAGTATCTATGTACTGTATGTCACAGAGTGCAGGTACAGGATCCAATGAAAAGGTGTTTAAGTGGTATGTGATTAATGGCAACATTGATGTCAATAATTTCAAAGGGTGGAAGAGTTAACTGAGCACGTGTACATATTATATGTTATGTCAGGTGCAGTACGGCGGTTATGTTGTTTGTTGGTAGAGCCTGTTTCTTGAGATGTTAGGTGTGAAGTAGGGTGTACACTCTGGATAGCTATGCAAAAAAGTACCGGTTCAAGTAAAGAAGTTTTGTATTCTGATTCTGTAGTTGTAACAGATATTGTAGATGTTTGGAACTTGATATTTGTCTGAGATGCAACCAGGGGTGGTTGATAATAATAATAATAATAATAATAATAATAATAATAATAATAATAATAATAATAATTATTATTATTATTATTATTATTATTATTATTATTATTATTATAAACTTTATTTTATATAGCGCCTTTAAAGGTGGCTTCTCAAAGTGCTTAAGGTACAAGCGATTAAGGTTGAGGTACATGGGCATGCAGAGTGAGAAATGTGTACAAAAGGAAATGTTCCTTTATTTTTTGCAGGGGGAAGGGCTGAGTGTGGAACAACAGAACCAACTGGATGGATGTGTTGTTGGTTCAGTGGTGGGGTGTTGTGTTTCCTGAATACGATTAAAGGTTTAATCTGGCAAATGGTATGCTCTTATATCTCTTGCCTGAGGGCAGTGGTGTGAAGAGCTCATGCCGGGGGTGGTGACTGTCCTCTGTGATGGTCAGAATTCTACCACGGCAGCGGTCCTCATAGAGCTGTTTAATCTCGGTGAGACCGCAGCCGAGGATCTCCTGGGCCATATTGACCATACTCTGCAGTTCCTTTCTTTCTCGCGAAGAGGTGTTGCCATACCACACGGTGATCCCGTTGGTGAGGATGCTCTCGATGGTGCAGTGGTAGAAGTTCACCAACACATGTATTGGCATCCCTCATCTCTTGAGGCACCTAAAGAAATAAAGGCGCTGCTGACCATTCTTCAAGATAGAGTCAGTGTTCACAGTCCAGGTTAGATCTTTAGAGATGTGAATTCCCAAAAACCTAAAGCTGGTGACTGTTTCCACATCCGATCCATCAATACTGAGTGGGCTGTGAGTGTGTGGCCTGTGTCTCCGAAAGTCCACTATTAGCTCTTTCGTTTTCTTTACGTTCAAGTACAGGTTATTGCTATGACACCACCTAAGCAGCTGTACGACTTCATCCCTGTAAGTGGACTCGTCATCATCACTGATCAGTCATATTATAGTGGTGTCATCTGCAAACTTAATGATGCGGTTGTTGCTGTGTCTTGCTGTGCAGTCGTGAGTGAACAAGGAGTACAACCTTGGACTCAGACAGCAGCCTTGTGGGGTTCTAGTGCTCAGGGTGAGTGGTGTTGATGTTTTATTGCCTATCCGCACCACCTGTGGTCTCTCGATAAGAAAGTCCAGCAGCCAGTTGCAGACAGAGTTGCACAGACCTAATCCCCTGAGCTTTGTCACCAGTTGACTAGGTATGATGGAATTGAATGCTGAACTGTAGTCCACAAACAGCATTTTCATATACGAGTTCTTAGTGTCCAGGTGTTCCAAGGCTGTATGCAGAGCCAGGGAGACAGCATCATTCACTGATCTGTTGTTCTGGTAGGCGAACTGCAAGGGGTCCAGGGACTCTGTGATGGAGGAGTTGATGTGTGACAACACCAGCTTCTACAGGCATTTCATCACCACAGATGTTAATGGTACAGGGCATTACTGTTAAGACTAGGATCAGTACAGGCAGTCCCTGTATTATCCATGTGGGTACAGTATACGTGTATATATAACTAATTTGTACATTCATTAAAACCTCAATTTAACCCAACCATACCTACTTCTACTTCCAATAATAAGTAATACCCATAATATAACTTTAACATTACAAATTACCACAGTTTTAGACCAATATTTAATCCTAATCCTAGGTTTAACTTTAACTCTAATGTGATGGTGCAAGGTGAGGCTTGGTTTCGGCTTCCTCCTGCTGGAGAGTAAGTTGGGCTCACCTACCTTGACTGACTGATCATGGAATTTCACAGGCAGGAAAGGGGCTCACTCGACTGGCACTCTGGATTATTGAAGAATCTTCAGGAGCAGCAGTCAGTTTATCTGCAATCAGGTGGATAAGCTTTGATTTGTATCTAAGCTCCTTCAATTCAGTGAGGGTGTTTACAGTAGTAAGCATCTGAGAAGTTTGTGCTTTAACATCAACAACCAGCTGGAAGTCCTAACACTGGTTTGAGGAGTTTAAAAAAGGTTTTTATCATGGATCAGATTTAGTAAAGAAAAATGGATACAGGGTGAGTTTAGCATTTTTTAATATGAACTCCTGGACTACATGTAACTTCAATTCTCCAGACCTTCTCTACAGTTGAAGATTAGTGCTGTTTACACAGTGTAAAGCAGTTGGGAACTATTTGCCAGTGGTAAAGACAGAGAATGTGTATCTTCCAGTGAAGGGAAGACTGGCTGTGAATGGAAGAGCCCAGTTGTGTGGGGTTGGGGTTCCAGTGACTCAAAACCAAGCTTATATATTTGTAAAGAAGAGAACTAAGAGGAGTTAACCATTTCATGGCCTCCTGATGAGTTCATTGAAGATCAAAGAGCTATTCTGCAGGATATGAAAAGAAATTACAGGGCAAAAAATACCATTGAGTGATTTAACTGTTTTTTGGGACTTAACTGGCTTCTCTGAAAGGGGTCCACCGGTGCATCATAGGAGCCCAGAGGGGTTCCACATCACAGACAGTGACAAACCACCCAAACACCCACATGTAATCTGCTGATGTGCTACCCCTTGATTGCATATAGTGGGTAGGGGGTCAACTTTCACCACATTCAACATTCAAATGTTATGAATTTTATACAAGCTAACAAACTGCTTATCTTTTATCTTCCTAACTGTTTATAACCCTGGTATGTGGAAGCATATCAGGGGGGCATCTATAGGTCAGTGGAAAATGCAGCTCTTAAAGGCAGTAAAAGGGCAGTCGAATGTCCTGTTCTGCGAATGTAAGCAATAACAAAAATCCTGATAAGGAGCTGTTTTTCTCTACCCGAGCTTGCATGAGAACAGAGGATTCATTTTAGGAATTTGGTAATCTGTGTCAAAGGTGGGAAGCTTGTTTGTCACTGTGTATAGAAAGCGCTGAGCAACGTCTTTCGGAGAGACTAGCTTCTGCAAGCTGCTCTCCCGTATGCATGCAAAATAAATGGCTCATCTTTCACCAACATCCAAATTCTGTCATTTTATATGATTCTACGAAACGTATTCCTAACCACATCCCTATTTTGGCCCTATCCATAACCACATCACCATCAGTCTTTATCCTACTAAAACCCAAACCTTATTTTATTAAATAAATAAGGGGGGGGAGACTCTGACAAAGCGCAGATGCCATAGTAAAGCTTCGGATATTTTGTCATATTTTTAATGTTAGTAAAAATAGTTTTACCTTTAGAATGAGTGTTGTCCTTCTCGTGTTTCTTCCTTTGTGTTTTTTGGCTGTACCTCAGTTCCAGTAATTTTGGGACAATCCATGAATAAATTTGCTTGAGAACTACATCTGGCAATGGAGTGCACAATGACTAGTCTTTTCATGAACATATTTCACAAAACTGACTGAACGGTATAAGACAAAATGCATGAAAAGCAGCTAAAGGGATATCTGATACTTAAGATCAAAACTTATATTTCCCTAGAATTGTCACGCTCTTAAACCCATCCTCTTAAGGACGCTCCAGCCCTTCCTAGTTTTATTTTGATTCCCTGCACCTGCCTCTGGTTCCTGCCCCCGTCCTACAAAAGCCAGGTGTTCCTGTCAATCTGGGCTCAGCTTTGGAAGATGGACCCCCTGAAGCGCGTCTATCCGCGAGTCCAGGAGTGACTCGACGGCACAGGCTTAATCACAGCGTCCTGACCTTCTGAGTACGGGATTAAGCAGCATCTGGTCCCGTGACCCCCCTTTTATTTCCCCATCCCTCTGCCGGATCCTGCTCCGGCTTTTAACTTTGTTCATCTTTGTCAGGATGGTTCACCCGGTCTTGGACTATTGCCACTCATGGATTTGCCTCGCACTCCTTTGAACTGTTTGCCTCGGCCACACCTCCCCAGAACACCAGTCCATCATGGACACGCCCCCCTATTTTCTTTCCAGTCCCCTGCATGCCCTTTTCCCCGTTTTCCTCTATCCTCTATCCTCCCCGGAGGATGTGTTATCCGCGTAGGGTCCTGAAAGAACGCTTCATTACAATAATCATGGATCATTTACATGTTATCCGTATTAAGGAAAATGTTAAAAAAAATAGAAAAATGTTTTCACTTCTGTAAGGTGCATGCATTTTTTTCTCTGTGACATAAGCAGATCATTTTAAAAACAGGATAAAATAAGAAAAAGCATTTCCCTAAAAAGTGTACAGTAAATGTTGTCTCCAGTGAACACAAATCTTCACTTGGCTGCAAAGTGCAGAAAATATCATGCACCTTTCTTCCCTATCGCTACAGTCGATTTTGTTTTCTTTTTCATTTAAACAATTAAAATAAATTAATACTAATATTCAATCTTTACAAAACTAATGAAGTGAAGATAATAGAAATGTTTTTAAAAATCATAAAGGAGTGGATATTTAATTAATGTACTGTACTAAGCAAGAATGTTCTTTGTTAATGACATTGTTCGGTGTTACAACGTGATCCTGACTTGGAGAATACCTGTCTACAGACAGGCTAAGGAATCCACTCGCTAGGTCCTGGTGGAGGTAAGCAGACAGGTGAGGAGGAGAATGCCCCTGGCAGACAGGCAGAGCTAGGCAGACATAGACAGAAGGAAAACAGAACAAGAAAGCTGCAGAGCACAATCAGGCAATACAGTTAGGTTACTAACGATGCCATCTGTGGCCGTGTAACAGCAGGGAGACAGGGATCCAACCAATCATTAGGTTTGGCTCAGAATCAGAATAGAGGTTTAAGATGGGTTCAGACGAATTGCAAGATCAGTAACTGGCAGGCTGGTACATGCAATGAGTTTCTACACATGCGGAAGAAGCTCAATGACAGGGCGTCTGACTAACAGGACAGGGCTTAAGTATCTGGCGCTGACCTGTTAAGTGGAAGTATTTGGCACAGATAGCCTCTGCAATCGTGTTCTCATGCCACCGGGAGGTGTTTGACTCTGCTTGAGAATGGATCTGGTTACGGCTGAGAGCCACGGCTGCAAGCTCTGACTTGCCCAGACGTAACAGTTCAGTGTTGAAGAT